GCGTTAACCACTTGCGCTATCGAGCTCCTCTTAAAAAGCTTAAACTGCATTAGTATGAGACGTTCACATATTATAACAGTGACACATTTCCGATTGTAAAAGCTACGTAATAACTCTTCACGTAATATTGTTACGGTTTGATGTACCGTAGAGAATAAGTTATAAGTATAACTAAATAAATTTTAAAAAACACTATCACTTTAATTAAATGATGGAAATTTTCAAGACAATTAGCAGATTATTAAGATAATCTTATTACAGACTATTTAATACGTTCTTGAACTTATTTTCTGCTCTCGATAAACTAATAATTACTCCTGTACTTAAAAGAGTGCCACATTCATTCAAATGATTCTCGGTAGACCATCCGTTCTCAATCTCATCATCATAAGAAGTCAAGGTAATGCGCTTATAAATGTTAAATTGCGTTTATGAGCATTCGTCGGTAAGTAAGTATGAAACACCCTGCAATATTTATGTAATGGGGACTTATATTGGACACGCGATCGTCGCGAACAATGCAAGGAGACTCTGCCCATCATAATCGCGACCTAGACTTCTTTCCAGTTAATTGTTCCCCACATCGCGCGTATATTTCACTGAAACAATAGATCAATCCAGTTGCGGCGCACCGTAATGACCGCACCGGCAATGCTCTCCTCCCGCGATATTAACGCTTTCGTATCCTTGGCGTGAGCCGGTATCTATCATGTGATCTATTGTACGTACAGTAGACATTATCGGTCTCAGATTAAAGCGATAATTAATGCTGATTCCATACGACCTAGTTTTGGGACCGCTCTATAAAGTTAATTTACAGTTATAGTTGTAAATCTCGTTGCAAAATAAACGGCGAGCACGCGCCGACCGGCCGGCCCATAGACAACAAGCGGTGACTCCCACACGGGACTGCGGCCCGGAAGCGAATGTGTCCCGGCCGTAAACACCATCACGTGCCAATATGCGCACCTACAACGTTTATAACCCGACTGAGGAAAAAGCACGACCGCCCCGACCGCAATCCGAACACCCTTTCGCCTATCGTCCCTCGCCCGGCTATACGGATCACGCACGCAGCCAGACACAACACATGTGCGTGACGCGCGTGTGAGCGAGAGGGTGCGCTCACCAAACTTTTGTCTGAATGAACGGGGAAACTTTGACAAGTTGTGTACACATGCCCGTGAAAGGGTGAGTCGCGTACAAACTTTGAGCCGCTTTCGATTTCGATGCGTGTTGCATATGGGGCGAATGACGGCGATCGATCGGCAAACTAACTTTGTTGTGTTGTTGGTCGAGTTTCTTCCTTGCGTCTCGTCTAGGTATCGAAGTAGGACCGTTGCAATTAACAACGGGTGTTTAAAATTTGAACGAACAAAGCGGGCGTTTGCAAAACACGTTTCAGTCAAACGCGTTGCGAAAAACGTAGAAAATTTTTGTGAAACTTGCGAAAAACTCTTGGAAAAAAAACACGACGAATCGAATCGAGTGCGAACGTATTGCGGGCCCTGGTTAGGTGGTGGGTGTGTTTCGTAAAGCATTGTTTATGGTCGAGTAGTTCTCTGAAGGGGTCCGATACAGCGGAATTAGAAAGCGTCAAGCGAGCCGCTGCCGATACAACTAATTGACCGCAAGGTTTACGCTATTCCGCTAGAAAACATGACGTAATAATAATAAAATCCATTTCGTCCGTACCCATTACACTTAGGAGCGTAAAATAATTCCGCGAATAAGATATCAAATATTATATGGCTCACTGAAATGAATAATATAAATTTAGAAACTTTTCAGTGGTAAGTGATTTACGATCGTAATCATGTACTACGTTTTTTTTTACAATTTTTGTTTCAGCAACATTGAGCATGGACAATTGTACTTGATGCTATCAATGTCAACCTCAGTTACTTACTTCAGAAACATTAGCACGGTTTAAACAATTAGGATCAGGAATGTTATTTATATAAAATTTCGGATACGGATACGGATTAGAGTTTGGGTCCCGGGATGTCCCGAGACTTTCCGTAAATTTAGTTGTCTTGGGTTTAGTCTCGAGACGCGATATGATTGTCGAAATTGTATTGTAAACATTTTTATTTTCAAATAATTAAAGAGCCTTGCGCCTTGCCAGTTTAATGATTAATTACTTGGTCTACCATGCGTAACTACTGAGTACACAACACAATAAATGCGTATGCCGATCCACCACATCGGTGGTGTGACAATAATCGAATCTGCTTGTAATTATAAGAAATAATTGGCCTGCGCAGGTGAAGAACTTTTGTCCATGGCCTCTTTTGTCCGTCAAACTGGATCACTAACAACTGTATCAAATAACGCGCACAAACGGATTAAAAATACAACGTAGAAAAGTCCCTAGAATAAACGAGGACATCGAGAGGCCGGACTGGACAAAAGTACGAGGGTGGAAACTAAGAAACACTCACAGAAAAAGTTCGAAAAAGCTGTAGCGACAGCGTTTTCGCGTTAGTACTTTCGTCAATATAAAATCAGCTTATAGGCCAGGGCGGATGCCTCTGAAAAGAGTAAAACACGAAAAAAACACAGGACAGAACAACATGAAACCCATTTCAAGAAGAAGAGAACGCATTAAGAAAAGAAAAATAATTTACGGGTGATTTGAGGTGGGGGTTGGCCTTTTAAGGAGGGAAAACGGTTTATCGTGACTTACGGGAAAACAACAACTACTATCAATTAAATTAAATGGAATAAATGTAAACCGAAAATCTCCCGTTAGGAAATTGGTTTAAAAAAATGCTTTTTGTCGTTGAAACTTCTACTTTTTGATAGTATTCAAACCTTTTAGAAGAAACCCTTCACGTCCATTAAAACATTGTAAAAATATTATCCCGGATAGCAAAGGGTGTTATTTTGATTTCGGCCTAACACTTAGGTCAAGCTGAATTATTATAATATTTCTAAAGAAAAGACCAGGCAGATGGCGCTGCCTTGCAGCCTAAGGCTAGAGAAAATTCGACACGGCCGTCAGGGCCGCTGTAGCATAATGGTCAGTGCATTCGCCCGGGTAACGAAGGGTGCGGGTTGGGGTCCCGTCTGCTGCCTTGTCCGCGTGGATTATTTTCTAGTAAACTTTTCTTTAGATTTAAAACGTCTAGCAGTTAAATGCTTAAAAAATCAAAACATAATTATTATAATATTTTCCAAAAAAATCCTTAACCCTAAACCTACTTATAAGTTTCTATATAACTATTATAACATATCTATAGATTCTTACAATGTTTTGTTTAATTTGTGTATCCGAAAATTTCGGTAACGGAGTTCTGTAACATCCCTTTTACGCGCGTACTTAACTTCCTACATGGAATATAACTTGCATTATTTTATTTTCACCGCGCTTGGTGGTACAAAAAGCTGCACGACCAGTCCCCATCGGCGGCTACCGCAAAGCTTCATTTTTATCCCGATCCCGATGCCTATACCGATACGAATGTGGGCTCATTGATTGTAGGTAATTATGCTAAATAACGAGTATCTGTTGGGCTAACGAGTGACACGAATTAACGGTTCGTTATATATTCCTATGGCGGTAATAAAATCTAAGTAAGCACAGTGGAGGCTGCGCCTGCATGCGTGTAACGATAGTATTATATCGTTAAAACTATCTGCTCGTGCATTTATCGAAGTGAGCTGGTTTCACTGCTCTTCTTCTTATAAACATTAATTAGATGAATAAATAGATAAACTGATTATTTCCGTCCAACGTGCCAAGCACATATTCATGTTTATTTTAACATAATTATAAAGAATATGGTAAACAAACTACTACTAGATAGGATAAGGATGATGTTGTTATATTGATAAAGGAAACTACATCAAAATAAACAGGCAAAAAACAGTGATTCTTTTGCTTTAGAGCATAACACAGGTTTTTTGGATTTGTATCTCAAGTAGATACCTTCCTACTTAGTACAATAAGATATAACTAATCCATGGTTTAAATCAGATAAATTTTACTAAAATACTAATAAAACGAAATTCTGTTATTCCCCCTTTCGCCCCCTTATATTTTAAACTAATCAGAGCCAATATCATATTCTCGTGTTATAGTTAATTTTCATTACTTATACATTTTTGTTCAACAAAAACTCCCAATAAAACAAGGCATGGCTTCGTATCGATTTGTCGCATTTGGTTCAACGGACTAAGCTAGCGAGAAAGTGTCTGCATTTACATCTTAGGCACACAGACAGACGAATGAATGCTCACGAGATATGTACCTGAATGTACGTATAATTTGACAGAAGGTACGGTTAAGGTACAAGTAAATAATATTGCTATATTACTTTGCCCACTAAACTTTGAATTATCTCAGTGTTCTTTTTCGTTGGCAGTAAAATTTATATTTTCCTTAACCTACTTATTGTGTAAATCTGCTTGGTAATTAAAAAATGGTTTGATACGAAATTGCAAGTTAAGAATGAAATGTGATATAACGTAATATCAACAAAAAAAACAAAGTAAAGTAGGTATTATAAACTCGACTTGGTATTATAATAATAGATATATCAAAAAACTGGACATGATGTGGAAATACTGAAATTAATAGTTGAGAATAAAGTTATTCGTGCTTTTTGCAACCATTTTAAATTGCTAATAAATTTCATAATATTCCGAAGTTTATTTTAAACTGTTATAGAAATCGTAATACGAAAAAACTGCATCGGTTTTAGTTTCTTGCTACATATAACCTACTAGCGCCATCCAGTGTTGAGGGGACTAACTATACCTTCACAGAGAGCTTTTTTAGTTTGTGAAACTTGCTTCTTTTCATTGACCTTTAGTGCAATATTTATCGTATTCTGATAACACGTAATTTTTGGAATAATATAGTAAACTTAATTAATATTTTTTCTTATATATAGTAATATCCCAAAACCACAACTCGTACACATCAAAACGCAAATGTTCGTTTTAGATGAGTTTTAATTATGATATTAATATCAACATGTTTCCTCCCGCAGTGTTTGGCATCGACTCGCCCCTGGGCCTGTTTCCCCCGGGCATGGAGCACAAGATGTACCCCATGATGGACGTGGAGCACCGCGCGCCGCCCCTGGACGCGCAACTATTCACAAACGTCAAAAAGAAATGTAAGCATTCATCATTTTATAACGACTACTTTAGATGAAATTTTTACCACGTAAGACAAAACTGTGGAAATTATCGCCAGCAGTGTTTTAGGACCTATACGACTGTAAGAAGGGGTACACGAGAGTCTATTGCATGAGTTGAAGCCGAATATGCAATTGCATACACAACTTTATCTTCACTCATAGGCACAATTGAAATTAAACAAAGTAACAAAAAAGTGTTTTGCATAACTTTTCTAAAATCCTCAAAACAAACCACAATCTGCAGAAAATTGTTGTATGGGAAGTGCAAGAAATTAATTTCAAATTTCGAATGCGCGCGCCTCTTTTTTTCATTCAGCCTAATATAGACTAATTTAATAAATTTAAAAATTAAATTGTACTTTGTTTGTACAATTTTAATAATAATAATTGTAATTGTACATGATTAAAGAGTTATTTTACGATACAGCTACTGTAATGAGTTTTATTTTTTAATGTGTATTCGTTTATAAAGTGTGTCTTTAGAAAACCATCGCTAATTTCGTAATTCGACTATTTAGACAAGAGTGTAGATAAAAGATATTTAAACATTTTGAGGAGCTCAATCGAGCGAAACTCAACGGAAAAACGGTAACTAGTATTTAAACTAATAGCATTTAAATTTGGATTTTCGGTCGTGGAAGTACAGCAACTTTATGCTTTAGCAATAGAAAACTGCAGTTTCGCTACTGCTCACTAGGGGGCGCTGCACGGAAAAAGGGTAACCAGCATTTAAACTAAAAAATATGCAATTAGGAAATACTTTTCTGCAGCTGTACGTAAATTATAAACTTGTACTTGGTTAATACTTTTGCAAATCTCATTATATTTTAAATTTTGGCGGGTTTTGTTTTTGTAAAGTTTGTGGGGAAAATGTTCCCTATGCATAACATTAACATTAACAAAATCTGCTGAGAATGTCCATGCGCAAATTTAAAATGGAAAAGGTACCAAGTTATAATAGAATAAGGCCCTATAGACCTAGATTAGGGTACCCATAACAACTAAGTGCGGCTTAATTTTAACTTTGATTTAAATTATAACTACTTCACCTTTTTCATCATCAGTCTATTGATGTTATAGTAATTGATGTTACTTGCGGGGTTTCTACAAGCTACAATGTACCTTGTTTTTAGTTTCTCCGTGATCATAGGTTTAGTTTAGTTTTACGGGACTATTACTATGTACCTTGTTTTTAGTTTCTCCGTGATTATAGGTTTAGTTTAGTTTTACGGGACTGTTACTATGTACCTTGTTTTTAGTTTCTCCGTGATCATAGGTTTAGTTTAGTTTTACGGGACTGTTACTATGTACCTTGTTTTTAGTTTCTCGGTGATCATGGCGCTTGCAACAGTGCCGAAATATCGAAAACTTGCTAAAAACTAGCAATCCCGTAATAAACATAAATAACTATAATGTTAGTGACCATGAAAGTTTAAAACATGTCTATCAATGTCCCAACTGCTGGACCAAAGGCCTTTCTAATGGACAGATTAGGGAGATTAGGGAGATTCAGACCCATCACGCGGGCCCGGTGCGGATCGATGGGTGCTAAGGATTGCAGATGCAGCTGGATCCAGCTCTGAGCTTCGGAAAGCAAATTTAGACTTAAACGTGCTTTTCGAAGCAAATATCACCTCACGATAATAATTCATGGCCACCCATCCACTTTCTGGCCATAGCGCAAGTTACTTTATTTTCACGTTCGACCGGACACACTGAACTGTCTGGCCATAGGGTAAGTTACTTTATTTCCACGATCGACCGGACACACTGAAGTTCCACTTGCCATGGAGCTACTTTTTCATCTTTTCAATTCTTTGAACAGAAAAATCTTAATAGCAAAAAAAGGTATTCTTTGACATTGTGGGTTACCTACAATGCGAAGAGATGGCGCTGCCTTGCAGCCTAAGGCTAGAGAAAATTCGACACGGCCAACAGGGCCGCGGTAGCATAATGGTCAGTGCATTCGCCCGGCTAGCGAAGCGGGTTCGAGTCCTGTCTGCTACCTGGTCTGCGTGGATTTTTCCTAGTAAAACTTTCTTTAGATTTAAACATCAAACAGTTAAATGCTTATAACTATCTTAATAGCAAGTAAAATAACCACCGAATTTCAATAAAAAAAAGCGTTCTCTAGAGCATTTTTCAGCCCGTATGTTACGAAATACTTATTGTTTATCGTCCTTCAGACGGCCATCACATCGACCTGAACAACGCTAAGGTCACTGATTTAAGAATTCACGTTTCATTTTATCTGACGCTGCTGGCTCAAATAAGACTTATTTGTGAATTGCGAAAAATTACTGATCTCAACAATAAACATTGCGTTACACAAAACTTGAAGCCTTCAATAATAAATAACCTTTGATTACATACCTATTCTATTTGTCAAAAATAAAAAAAGCCGTTTTTAGTGTACCCAAAGGGTAAAAACTGAATTCTAATCGTGTATATTGTACAAAGTTATAACGGATACGCTGTTAACAATAAACATTAAAAGAACAATAACATTGTTGTTAACAATTAAAACAATAACAACATAAACTTAAAGCAATTTTATAAGTAACCTTTATGTTTTTATTACAATGAGACTTTCAATCTCAATGCAACTAGGTATAATAAATAGCCTTAAGAGATCGGCAGTTAGTTACCCAGTTACGCGGCCCTCCGTTCACGTTTAAGCACTCTGGAGATTTATTGAAACAAATATTACGTCTCGAAACGAATAAGTTTCGCAACAATGCCCACGGCCCATAATACCGCGCGTCAGAGTTGCACCGCATCACACATCTCACCGCGAGGCATCGCCATCGATAATGTTTAACGGCCACGTATTGTTTCCCAGCAAATGTTTATTAAGACGATCAGATATCGTATCTCATAGGGGACACAGGCGCCGAGTCTAACGTATGCTCTGAATGGGCGCTTCGGTCGCTCCTCGCCGCGGCGCTGACGTCTGCACAATAGTCGCCGATCGATTAGCGTCGAGACACAGCTCGCACACGACGCTCCCTCATAAAATGCTAACGAGCTACAAACGGAAAACATCCTTTTTTAATTCGCCCTCCACCTCCTCGCGTGACCCGCGACGTCTATTAAAAGAAAAACTCATTTCCATAATAAAAATATCATTCCGCCCGTCCGCTTTAATCCGAAACGTTCTACTAAGAATTATCCGATCGGAATCGAGTTAACGTGCACCGCGGAAATTATAAAACTATAAAAGTTACGCGGGGCGCGACGTCGTCGCCGCGGCATATGCATGTCCACGTTCCTTTTTGACAAAACTCGACGTGGGTAGGTAGGTACCTAATAGTCGCGTGCTCGCATCGAATTAATGACAAATCGCCGCGCTACCAACCAAATGTCGCCGCAACCCGCTCATTTTTGTCGTAAGCCGGTACACAGAGTTATTGCTCCACCGAAACACGGTTATTAGATAGTGGTGCATTCGCGTAATGCCGGTGACGGCGGCACACGGCACATGTCGTGCGCCCGCCAGCACTAGGTACCTACCTGCCTGCTACCCGTAAATCAGAAACTCCACATTGTCGTTCCTAAAGTAATTAGCAAATTAAACATTTGTGGCAGACACGAAATACTTTATCAAGTATGTTCTTTTGTCAACAGGGAGGCCGAAAGGGCAACACAGCGCGCCGCGCGGCGGGCCACCTCGATCTTGGACGAATGCCGAGCTCACAGAGGCCCTGCAGCACGTGTGGAACAAGAAAATGACTACGAGTCAGGCGTCGAGGATTTTCGGCATCCCGTACAACTCCCTGCTGATGTATGTGCGGGGAAAGTACGGCAAGAGCCTCAAACTTGAGCAACTGAGGAAAGACTGCATCGGGGGGCCCCTCGACGTGCTGAACATGAACTCAGGGAACAATAACAACAACCATCCGCCCAGCAAGCACCAACACGACAAAGAAGACCACCAGAACGCCAGCCAAAGACCTGCCAGCTCAGAACCAGACATCACCTCGAACCCAATTTTCAATCCATTCTCGCAAGGCTTCTACCCAGAGTTCCCACCCGGGTTTCCGATGCCGCTGAATATGCTTCACCTGTTACCGCCAAATGAAAAAGCGAGAGAGCTGTACCAATCGATGCCGATGGCGTTAGACTCCCTGTCCGGAGTGACGAAGGAGGAAGACTGCAAGAGTGATAGATCGAAGGAGAACTCCGCAGACGAAGAGGGAGACGCATATCGCGCGCCCGCTCACCCCCCTCATCCACCCGACAACCGCACGCTGCTCCATCACAACGGCCAGGACTAAGTCCGCGAATCTTTCATCATAAGTTCAAACGTCTTCGAATCTCCCCCGTATGTACCTAGGTAAACCCGATCGAGCACACTGTCTGTGCTATCTAGACGAAAAGTCGCCTAAGTATCTAATGAGGACATTAAACTGGATTCTCCTTTAGAGTACCGCGTGTACTGCATAACGTGGAAGTTACGTGATGGAAATCTGACAAGTGTCCCTACTTCGGCATACCTGATTATTACAAATTCTTTATCTTCACTCGACCTTATTCTAGGACATCCCATCTTTTGTCTTTTTAACTCGCCGAGAAGAGGGGAAATTCTATTCTTGACTCTTTCGATGTGCAATAGTTGGCCGAATTGGGGTCACAATAATTGATCTCTTTACAATACACCAGTCAGATTTACGCAGTGTATTCCCAAGAATTATGTAACAATATTTTTAGAGTGTATTTCTCAAAACACCTCCGGAGCTCTAAGGAGCGACGTCCACATTCAAATTAGTTAAATTTATATTTAAAGATGTGTTAATATTGTAAATGTATATTAAATCGCTCTTAAGTGATAGGCGATAATTTATTCCGAAGGAGTGCAATAAGTATGAAAGGTGTTGTGATTGTTATCGTTAAGATTTATCCGAATACTTATTTTGATCGTTATCATTCCCAGACATACATTCCTTTTTAGTGTTATAACTTATCATTTACATTGTAATTAATTATACTAACTAATTTTATTAAAGAGCATCGTTTTTGCTTTTAGATGCGCCCTATTCTGTGTTAATAATACGATCCCGATGTAGATATGTGTTATATGTGCGATTACACTACTGCATTTCACCAAAGTTTGTAAAATATTTCGTAATAATAAATAATAGTTATATTCGATAATAAATAAACAATTTTTAAATGTAAATAGTTATTGATATGATAAATTAAATGGGGTTTTGAATTAACCATTTATTAAGGAGACATTTATGTGTCTAAAATGGTAAATTGTAGTGTATTTGTAATTGTTGTAGTATTAGTGAACTGATAACAGTGAAATGTTCTGTAGAGAACGCAGACGAACGGAGAAGGTCCGCACGCACTAGTCACAAGTCGCAATATCCATTGGAACGTCTAAAAATTACTTACCTAAATGTCGGCAATCTTTCAAACATTCCACAATCCTTTCGGTCCATACCTTAGTAGTTTTCTCACTAAAACTTAGACAAGTTACTTCAGAATGTAGCAACCGTTATTGTGAAAATACAATAATATATAAAAAAATATTCTTGTTCGTTGATCGCTGGATTTTCACTCGTGTACTGACGTGTACAAAATTATACCTTCCTTCATAAAAACACGGGAAAAAATCTAGTGACAACAAAGAAGCGATCTTGGAAAATGTTCACAAGACAAGCAGTTACCTGCCCATCTGTTCATTTTGTAACGTCGAAAAACTTATTATCATCTTCATTATCAACAAAACAAGACGGTGCGCGCCAGGTTAGACAAATAAAAGTTTCTGCACTCAATGTTCAAATAAAAAGGAGCTTTCAAATTTTTAGAAAATAATAATGAAAGTTAGAATAAACCAAGGTTCAATCCTACCTGGCTTTAGATAATTGTATACAATGATTTCATAATTAATTAGAGATACCAAGTGAATTAGAAGAGTAAACGTTTCACATGTTGTATATACCATTTATTTGTATAATAATGATTTCTAACTATGTTGAAAGTGTTTGACGTTTCCTTTTATATATAACTATGATATCCGATTATCACTAACACAATATAGTTGTCCCGAGTTACGTACACATACCATGTTACATTTCGCAGTTTCCGTGTATGAATCATCAAGGTTATATTAACTGAATCACACTTATTGAATTTGTTGATACATTTAACTGCAAAACTAACAGAAGACTGAACACTATTTACGACTATTTTATATACTTAATTATTGTACATTACACATTATCACAGTAACTCTGGCAGTGATTCGCATACAAACGGTAGTACCTACACTTAGTGTCACGTCATATAACAATATTATCATTACAGGGATTTAATATATAAACGAATTACATTATATAACTGAATAATTAAATATATAGTTTAACAGATACCTTTTGCTTTCCTTTTTATTTCATTTCAGCACAATTATGATTGAGAGGAGTAACAGAATTTCAAAATTTTGCAAATTCATAGCACTTTTGTACGCGACGTTACACTTGTAGTGTAAATGAATATAATGTAAAGCAAAAATTTAATAAAAACCGATGTCTGTGTAAAAAATGCATGTGCCAAAAATTGATTGCATCAAGAGTTCATACGATAAAAAATTTGGGCAGAGATGACAAAACGCTGTCGTTTTACCAAATTGAAAACAAATAATATTTTTACTGTAATAATTTTATCCAACGACATAATGATGAATCCGCGTACGGTTTATTTTAATTAGTTAATTGTTTACTTGTGTTTAGGTTATGTGTTATCGGACATTTTACCTAATTCGTACAAATTCAAGCAGTATTAGAGTGATTTTGTTAAAGATTTAATTGAGATGTTTTTTAATTAAGTTGTTATTTGTTAATAGGATTGATGAAGTGATCATAATAAGTATATTTGTCCACATACGGACCCCCTGATTACGCATAATGATTTGATTTAGACTCGCAGCAGCCGCCTTATTACTAGAAACGATTCTACAGTTCCTGTTAACATTCCTTCTACGATTTTATTTCATTACAACTGAAACTAGTAAAGTAGTATTCAGTCGATCCTGTCGCTTGTCCATGCTGCTTCTCAGCACTGTTTAATTAAGCCTAAATTAACATTTATATTTAAAATGAATTTCACCAGGAGCCAAATGTAAGGACGTAAAGAATATAGATAATATATTTAAGACACAATGAGTACTTATTTTTTTAGTTGATAGTAGATTCAAATATTTAGTTCCTTCATTTTTGTTACGAGTATTTATAAATTGTAATTGCAATGATTTTAGCTTTTAGATAATTGTTCTCTTCGATAAAGAGTATAATTAATTATAAGTTGTGTAATTTAATTTGTTGTATTTTTGCTTAATGATAATGACAAATTAAATGATATCGTTACATTAGGATGTAAAAAAGATTATCTATTTGATCTTAAATAATACGACAAAATATTTATGTTCTAGTATCATTCTATCGTGTAATTGAAATTGAAATGATGGAGCGATGTAGTAAAATTCGTTTACGGTCACTGACGTAAAGTGTAAAAAATAAAAATATGAAATACCATTCTATTGTTTTATTGTCCGTTCATCAACTGCATATAATATTATCTACTAAGATATTTTCATTTTTTTTTATTTCCGTATATCACCGTGCAAGAAGAACACCAAGAGACATTTAGTCGATATTCAAACTACTAATGAGGTTTGTACCCAGAGCAGGGCCGCAATTTAAAGCAAGGCAAGCTCAGGGATTAAAAATATCCAAATTTCGACGGGTTACTAACCGGAGTACAAAACGTAAATTCCGGCCTCCAAGCCTTCATTGCCCCAAGGCCTCCTCACCTCTTAATCCGACCCAGTCTGTGCCCCAGCCAGAAATTAGACTGAAGGTAAATAAAAAGAAAACTAATAAATATGAAACAACTCACAGCTTGCCTTCTTAAAAATTTAGAACTTTATCATTTGTGCCATAGAAAATAACAGAGACAACATTCTCACATTACAAATGAATGTCCCTACCGGAATTCGAACCCAGAAACTCGAGCAAATGCAGGAGCTCTGCGGTGTACTTACCAGTCATCGTAACATGGCCAATCATGCATTTGAAGAAGTCAACTTCATCGCAAACGCTTTCGACTTTTCTTGAAAAAATAAACTCTACGTCATCGTGTTACAATTTAAACTCACACTACATACCAACACCCAGACCCAAATCACAGATTAGGCCTAATGAAACATGGTTGTCACAGCCGAAAGTTTTTCTATAGTTACAATCAGCTACATATACGTAATCAATCGATTTTAATTTTTCATTTTACCAATTATTTCTGATGACAAAATATATTATTTAAGTATTCGGTATTCGGCCGAATAATATGTAGATATTCGGTATTCGGCCGAATATAATAAAAGCAGCCGAATAGGCCGAATACCGCACAGTAACCGAATATTCGTTGCACGTCTAAAAATCGTAGGAACCGTGACTGAGCGTAGTTTGACTCAAGAAGTTTGCCGGGCTCTGCACCCAAGTAACTTCGACCTGCGAATGTCTGAACATAGAGGCGCGCTATTAATAACAAAAACGTCCTACTAGCAGTTCGAACGACAAAAATTAACAGATGCCCATTGAAGATTAGCTGGTTAGTCAGGGTTGCTTACCAATAAAATTATTTTAAGTTATTGTAAAGTTCCAGCAGAAACACCATACCTTTTGGTGGTATTATGTTTCTCCTGGGTAAAAGCTTCAGCATTGGTTTCAGGCCAGTAAGGTGAGAATGGCTGGAGTTACTTGTTGCGCAATGTAAACAATTATCTTTCTATTTATATTAATATTCTATGGAGGCTGTAATATTGGATTATAGTTATATGAGTTATTTACGGGATTGTTACTATTAACTTTGTTTTTGGCGGGTTTCGGGTATTTCGGCACTGTTGCAAGCGGCACGATCACGGAGTAATAGTATCCATGGCTTGCAACAGTGTAGAAATATCGAAAACTCGCTAAAAACAAAGTACCTACATGGTAAGAATCTCGTCGATATCTTATTTATTTATTCTTTATTACCATAAAGCAGTAAATGGCGGACTTAATGCCATAGGCATTCTCTACCAGTCAACCAGTAAGGGTGTACGAGATGAAATTTAACGGCGATAGAATATGAGCTACTTAGTGCGGATCATAAAAACTATCTACTACCTAACTATTCTATAAGAACAATAAATATAAAATATATATTATACCTACACACATATTCATAAATATATATATTTATAAATAAATACATAAAAAACATACATACACTAAATTAATAAAAATAAAATAAATATGGTGATATATAGATGACTACAGATTAAGAGGAAAAGTTTTCTGAACTGTAACTTATTACGTGCACTGCGAATATTCAGTGGCAGTCTTATATTACTAATAATGTTAGTGACCATGAAAGTTTAAAACAATAAGACCATAGATTTAGAATGGCAAGACCTTTAAACATAGTGGCTACACAGAGAAATAAAACGATAAATCTGATATCACATGTAATCGTACCCTTTTTATTTCTGTTCCATTTAAATACAACTTTATAAATACAAAACTATACACTAGAGACGGTGGCTACAGAGTGCGTACAAATTTCGCCGGGCACTCCAATTGAGCAAATGCAAGCAGATTCAGTTTTCGTACAACAAGTGTGATGTGAGAGTTCGAAACGGGATCATTAAATATATAATGTATTTTATGTTACATGGCATAGAATTTCTTATTGGTACGAGGTAACTATTTTATATACTTTGTAAATGTTGCTTTATCCATTCAATATCACACTGCTTTGTATTTGTTAATTAATAATTACACATTTAGAAAATATTATAGCCTTACCACTAATGAAGACATCATAAAATAAATTCCGGTTGTAAAAATGATGAAAAAAAATATGCCTTAAGTACATAGATGCACAAATCTTTTCAGAAAATTAAAAACAGAGTGCATTTCCAACTTTCTAGATCTCGTTTGCGTGAACTTGAAATTTTATGTCATGTACCCCATCTAGTGGAATCCGCAGCGTACTATGATAATGTTACTATCCCTTGGGAATATTTAAACGCAAACTTAACGCCTTCTACTGAATGTGAGCGCAATCTCATTTAGTAGGAAGTACGAGAAACTTAGTAACCCGAATAATAGTGCTATACTTAAAGAACGCAAACGCAAATGTACGCAAAACGAAATAAGTCCCTTGAAAATGCACCCTCTGCATGCAGATTACGTATCAGAAATTAAAATAGCAATATCACTTATTCAAACGCTAAGCCGATGAATAAGAATGATATATTCATTGTAGGTAATTTGCCTATTATTTCGAGTTCTTATGCCCAAGGGAACTTTTCTTTTTTTAATTTAGTGTATGAGGCCCAAATGCACCGAAAACTAGATTTAACACATACAAGAATGTCAAACTGATATTGAAGTTTTACATTTTTGTATGTGTTTGCATCTAGTTTTAATTAAATCGAAATTAAGCAAATTTGGTGCAAGTGGACCCAACGCCGGCACTTTACATGGCTCCACATTCGTATTTGCTATTTGGCAATATGACAGCAGGCTGTCCTTATCATACTACATAGGGAGTGATAAGGAGAGACTAGTGTCAGGTTTACAAAAAAACAAACGGTATGAGTGACTGAATGAACAAACATACCCATTTCATAGAATTCAACGTTTTGGGAATACTTAATAAGTAAAATATAATATATGCATTGAATATCCAAAAAAAAATAGGTTCTCCGTTTTTATAATTCAATTAAATTTAAACTTTGGTGACATCAATTTGCGTCGTTAATTTTTTTCGTCATCTATTCCTTTCTAATACATAAATGACGGATGAATGTCAAACGAGAAAAATAGAATAATTCAGAATCAATAATAAAATTAATGGCAACAATTGTTAAACCAATGAAACCTGTCTTACTCTAAACGACGAAGCTGCGTGGCGGTAGAAAAGGATAGCCTGACGAAAACTTTTATATTTCGGTGTAAAATGATAATTTTGCCCCTATAATCCTAATCAACAGACAGCTGCGTAGAGCAGAAAGCGACCAGCGGGCTTTTTGAAGCTAACAAATTTATGTTCTGTGGACCAATGTTATAGTATGAGAAAGAAGAAAGCGACCATAGGCCATTTCCGGGATCAAAAGGAATCAATCTTTAAAATAGGTTCGTAGAACAAATTTTCGTTTATTTCTAAAATGGCCGCTGGTCGCTTTCTACTTAACAACGCTCGTTTAACACTCGATATATAATAAGTTTATCAATAAATACAAACCTGCAGGTACTTGCACATTCCATAAAGTAGTGAATCAATACCAAAAAATAATGGGTGAAACAATGATTTTCAATTGGTTCAATATAAATAGTTAGCAAATAAAGTCAATTTTCTCATTTTCCCTAAAAATATATTACACATAAAATAACTAATTTTATCAAATAAATTAGCGTAATTTTACAATTGGCTTAGTATTATTCATTGTGATTTACAAATCAATGCTGGTACATCACAATGATTTAATTAGTAGGCGGTGATTGAACTTTAGCGTGCTATTTCGTTTGTGAGAAATGTGAGATTTTTATTGAACAAAATTGACGATTGAAGCTAAGAACTCACGCCTGCTTCTGCCGCGCCCGCCGACGCTGCGGGACCGCAACTCACATGTCAAATTGTAGGTAAAACGTAAAACTCACGGCGCGATTTGCGCCACCAGACGCGACGAGCTACCCCAGGGGGGCCTGCAGAAAAAACCGCTCCGTGTGTTCTTAGCCTTACATTTCATGATGCATCAAATAGCAATTAAAAAAACATCTTTATCATCAACTCGTGTTTACAAATCAACTGCAGGTAGGTACCATGTTTGATCGAAACTAAATTTAAGTTTAAACTTTATTAATGTAAACGAGATTCAACGGTCAGTCCCAATAACCTGTCCACGGTAAAGGATAAGCTTATCATTGATATGTAGCCTACGTGTTTAGATTTAATTATTCCAATTTAACTACGCACCGAGGAGAATATTTGATCACTCATACAATAATCGACCATTGCGAAAGTTGTTTAACTTTGACGATCGCAGGCTGAATGAGCTTATCACCTACGCCATCGAGCTTTCCCGCGATGCTGTATTTTAATTAAAAAAGAAAAAAAAAACAAAAACTTATTAAAAAAAACAAGAATTCATGTGAAACTTACGTGTCTCCTTAATTAAGATAATCATAAATTGGTTTTGATCAAACACGTGACATAACAACAATTTACGTAGGTACTATAGCAAAAATCTGAACAATTCAATCATGCAATAAACGGCTTTGGTTAGACATCGTAAAGGCTTATTAAAGTGGGTACACGGACCCCTTATGAGTGCATAGTATGTGTATAGATAGCGGCAAACTTCTGAGCAAAACCACAAACAAATAAACTTGCGCAGTAGACTTTTTTGTATGTAAAATTACTACTGCGCACTTTTTTGTCTATAGTTTGCCGGGGTGTGTACCAGGGATCCACTCTTAAATAGTAGGTAATAAATAAGTATAAATAATGAACCTACAAACATTAATTATTATTACTTATTGGTGTTATCTTTTCCTGAAATATTCTTCTTGACCTTGATGAAGAAAAGTTTGTGACATGAACTAACATATGCTACAATAGCAAAGTTTAGTGAGATATTTGTAAGCGAAAGTCACCCATTCGCCATTTAAGATTAGTTTTTAAATTAATTTGATCACAATTTCTGGTACTAACAACTAATCTACGCTACAGTAGCATCGTGTCGATTTGTTTAAGCAAAACTACGCATAACGACGGCTCCTACGTATAACTCCCTTAAATCGCATATTTTCAAGAAGAGTGGTTTGAAAGTTTTTTATGCAGTTTTTCTTTTATAACTTCGAAAACATATATGCAATATTGTTCAAATTCGGTAAATACCTTATTATTATAATTTAATATACAATAGACGCAAATTTATTGAGTATTTACTAAATGTTCACATGACATTTATCAATTAATATTTTTAGAGATACCAGTAAATGTAGTAAATACCAGTTACTTTTTGAATAATATTTAAGTACCCACGTACAATAAGTAACTGCGAACCGAATAATATTTTAACAAAATTGAGTTACCCATCGTAACTACCACATACTTATGCGCGTAACTGCTACATGTGTTTATCGCAAGGCGGCCCACGCAGTGGTTTTCTGTCGTATAAATAACTTAGTGTCACTACAGAAATTTTACGGCTGTTAACACTGCAGTTATGTTGTTTTTCATTTTCGATATCTTAAAAATTAAAGCACCTATTATTTTATTTTTTCGTTTCATTAGCCAATAGGGCTGTGTTATGGGAAGCCAGTTAAATAAAAAAGTAAAAATCGACCAAATGTCACATCTGCATTTTTACGTAGGAACCGTGACTAAGACATTTAGTTAAGGCGGAAATAAAATTTGTGGTACATCGGGTACCGACACTGTAGCACACTTATTATTGAAATGCGACGCGACCCGACGTGTCGACATCCGATGTGCCCCGGTGCACATTACCAACACGCGATTTCACGACATACAGGCATCATAGAAATCAGTATATTTGATTTAACGCAACACGCGTCGCGAGGCGTCGCGTTTCAAAAATCTGTTTCTGCCTTTACGTCAGCAGGCGTCGCGTTTCAAAAATCTGTTTCTGCCTTTATAGTATCCCTGTACAGTCCTAGTTTGTAACATTACTTTTTTTTTTTGAGGTAAATATGATCCTCTGTACTTGTGTCTAAAGAAACGACTCAACGATACAGTTATGTCCATATAATAAAACAATACTTTACGATGTCTAACCAATCACAGACAAAAAAAATGATAGCAAAATGGCAGTGAAATTTGAATGTTCACGTTACAAACACACAACAATTTTATTTTTCTACCTAGAAATATTATTTGATTAAAATTATTGTTAGTACAACCTTACTCTATAAAAAACACGATGGTTAATTCATCTTATTTGGTAATTAAATTCTTTTAAACATAATCAGTGCGTTAATATCCATTTCACGCCTAAAAAGCCAAATTATTGAATAAGAGTATATATAAATAAGTTTGAGAATTTGTTGTATGCTATATTTGTAATGAAGCAACCTAAGTATAATATTGCCAATATCTCAACCATATTATTTCTTCTAAAGGCAAGTACATAATTACATGTAAACGTCTTACCAAAAATGGTAGTATTTTATCATATTTCGTATTAGTCTCCACACTTAGGGGAAACCACATCAAATTCTGGATGATAGTTAATCATCATCATCAGCCTATTAATGTCCCCACTGCTGGAGCAAAGGAAAAGCCCCTATCGATGGAATAGGGAAATTGGGCCATGACCCACTATGCAGACCCATTGATGGGTGCTAACGACTGCAGATGCAGCCGGTACCAAAGGCTTAACGTGCCTGCCGAAGAAAATTTTTGGACACCCATCCAATGACCCACCACTGCAAAAGTTGCTTAACTTCAACGATCACCGCCAAAAGCGCTAACCACTTGCGCCATCGAACTCCTGTGATAGCCAATAACTCAATAGTATTAAATATAAAACCAATATTTAATAATATCGTTTTATGGATGTGTAAGGAAATAAGAATCATGTAATATGTAAAAATTAATGTCATTGTTCAATTTCCTGAAAGCCGAAAAAAATATATCAGACGTATGACAGCAGACTTCAGTAAAAATAATATGGTTGTGTTACGGATATTACAATGACAGATACTCGTCTAGCGAAAGTGAAATAATAAATATATCAAGTTTTTATATACAGTCGACACTTCTACATATCACAGACCAGGACCTAACAACCGGAGAACTAACCTAGACAACGGACGAGCTTGTTACATTAACAATAGAGTCGAGAATATGGTTTGCTGAAATACTAACTAAAGGCTTGACTGTAGACGAAATATTCGAACAACTCTTCCACCAAGTGGACACATAAATAGTGTTATGTTTTCAATTCACTTAGTTATTTGTAAACATGACATCAGTCTGTCCTTTTCATTCCTTATAAAGCATCATAAGGACAGACTGTTGTCAAGTTTACAAATAGCAAATACGAATAGCCAAGTAAGTACCAGCATCAAGAAAAACCAATTTCGATTATTTTAATGTATAATACTATCGCTATTTTTTTATATTATTTTGAATATTGTGCTATTTTTTGTTTCTTAAGCACTTCTCATATCAATAAATATATTGATCACATAAATGGTACAAAGTTGGCTTGCTCTGTTCATGTAGTTTTGGGAGTGGAGGCCTGGTGTCTTGTAGAACAGGGTTATCCTATTGCAAGCACCAGTGTTCACATTAAGTAATTAAATACAATATTTAATCATGGTAAATGTTTTTTTTCTAATTATGTGAAAAAATAAATAATTCATTACTATTTATTTATTATAGCTAATTCTTTTCTAGCGCTTTATATAAACTCCATTTGAAATCTATTTTTATTATCATATTTTATAGAAAACCCAGCTGAGATTAGAAAGCATTAAATCGTTGACTTTGTTCAACAAACCCTAAAATACAATTTCCTCAAGCATCTAAAACAAAAATTAAAAAGATACTTCATAGAAATATACACCTCTTTCATTTCACGCTAATGTAAATGTAACAAGAAATTTCACGTACAATTTGGCTTTTTAGGAATGGTAACATTCAACATTCCCTTACAATACGCGAATAATAATTTACAAATAATTTATAGCCGTGAAGGCAGTGTTTCGATTACAACTTCGTAGATATGGAATGCCCAACGCCAAAATCCTTAAAATCGAACAACAACGACACAAACCTTAATCCCTACCTTATAATTTCAAAGGACAGGTATTCCACTATTTTAAACTTTTTCGTTCGCTACCTACCAAAAATATATGTCCTCGTCTATGAAAAATTCGACATCCTTTACTTAAGTAGGTATTGTGATAAATAATTTTAAATTATCAGGATTGTTTACATATACAACAACCACCATAAGAATACAACTCAGATTGTCTAATTCCAAATATCTCTCTCGAAGTCTCGAAAGGAACCTCATTCGTTATAATATTCTTATGCCAAACTCTTCATAGCATTTCTCGCATCTTCAAAGTCACTTCACACTGAACATTTTGAAAATTTTTAGCTATTTGCTGTTCTAACAGCTTGTCTCATTGAATACAACGTTTCCCTAGACTTTAACATTCCATATACCCAAGAAATCCATTCTAGTTAACAAGCTTCGTAAATCCAAACAGGTCCATTACCTCCCTCCCTAATGCAACCTCTTTTACTAATTTCACTATACAAACAAACAACTTGGTAATAACCTCCTTACAGCTATTTTCCCACTCAAAATTCAAACAGTACATCTGTCGTTTCCAATAAAAAACCTCCTTACACTTTTACCGTTCCAAAATAATACAATAGCTCATGCTAAATATTGACAATTCAATCTTTTCGATAAACGAAATGAGTTTTGTTATTTCATTTCGCCATTTGCAGATACCTAGTGACAATCGCGTGTAGTTCTTGTGGTAATTTAGTGCGATCGTGTTTCGTAGAATATGACGCGATGAGTTCACTGGCCTGGGTATGGAGGTCCAGTAAAGCGTTGAGCCCTATACAACGGAGGGCCTTTGCATTCTTATATACAACGTTATCTAACTCAGTCTTGTTTATCAGTACTCTCTCTGTATCTGGAAATAAGAAGGGTGTCATCATAATACAGCTGCTATGCTCAAATTCTGGACTAGAAGAGAAACCAAAAGATAGAGTGCGCAGCTACTAACTTTAAAGTGCTTAAAGTAAAAACTGGTGAATATTATTGCTTCTAGGTATTACTTTAGACTCCACTAATGACAAATGTAACATTGTTCAGATGCGAGTATGAGATTTAATTCAACTCTCGTGTTGTCACTTTATTCTGGCTAATATATTATTGTAGCAAATTTATTACTACTACTACAGTAATACTGTATACAAATTTAATTAGTACGAACTTACCCGTGCTTAAATCGTGCCCTGAATTCCTTTTCTTTGGTGAAGTCTTTGCCGTCGTTTTGTCTGACGATTTAGTTGGACTGTAACATAAAAATATACATTTTTATTTGAGCATTTTTATATGTTAAGGACATACAAGTGGTCGAGGAGAGTAGTCGTCACACTTCGACAATTATGACATTTTACCCTTCGGTAGAATCCTTGTCACTTTATGTACGTAAAATAATTGTGGCATTAACCTCTCACCTATGCTGCTATGTTGGCTTGTTTCCGTGTGATCGGTAAGATAATTTTCAACACATTTGCTCAAAAAATGCATTTACGGAAGTTGTATGCATTGTTCGAAAGTTCAAAATTACGGGCTATTCAACGGAGTGTGCGCTAAAACATTTTACCGCACGCTCCTATATATGGCACGCCATGCGTGTCTTTAAGGTTTTGTTTTTTAATTTGGGTTTAACCTCCTTGAAAGTGCTTTTAATCTGTACCTTTGTTTCACTTTAACACGTGATATAGTTCTAATTTTGCCCACACACACGTGGCGCCATTTTCGTTTTAGTAAATAGTTTGATTAATTACATGAATGAGGTAATGGTACAGTTTTTTTAGCAAATGTGTTGAAAAACGTTGTATGACATTTGTGCAGATTGGTATTTACAAACTCTTGGCTCTCGACTTGTCGTCTACTCATTAGTTATAAGCAACTTACTTACTAATATTATAAATAACCAATGGTGTCATCTTAAGGCCTTCTTGGAGTCGCATTGTCGTCACATTTCGATGATGACGTCACTTCGCCCTTTGGTAGATAAGCTTAACTTATAAAATTTTCAACTAATATGTATAATAATAAAGATTTAAGCTTTCACCTGTCTATCACATGGTTGTTTGTTCCCGTGTGCGCGCTAAGATTAAATATGGAGTCATCTTGAGGCCTTCTTAATGGCGCGTTGTCGTCAGATTCGGACGATGACGTCACTTCACCGTTTGGTAAAGGGGTAGACGTTATAGGCTTGTTTTCTTTGGACTCTTCGTCCGTTATCGCCATGCCGGAGTCTTTGAATGTCTATAAATAGGCGAATTGCAATTGTAAAACAAAGCTATTAGTCAGTCAACAATGCATCAAAGGTCCGAGCACGAATTTTGACAGCTCCATAATCGTATCGTCATCGTTAAATTTTGAATGGAAGACGCCAGTTTGTTATTGTCCGGTAGGGGCGCTGTAGTAGTTTTCATAGAAACTTTGACGATGCGATACGATAACAGAGCTGTCAAAATTTATGCTTGGGCCCCAGGTTACCACAATGTGAAATAACTCAATGGATTTTGTACCTTATATGTAGCAAAATAAAGTTAAGAATTTTAGTGGAAAATATTGTTCTGGATAAGTTCTTGGTGACTAATAATAAACAAACGAACGTTCTACAGTTATATTTACAGTAAATAGAAAAATAAAATACTGTTAACATTATTTGTAAATATAAGCTAAAATAAACATCTACAAAGAAGATTAAGCGAAAGGATATGACCACTTTATAGATACCACAAAAGCTATGTATATGACTAATGAATGAAATGCTGTTCTACACATTTGTTTCAACTAAACAAAATACACAATAATAGGACACAACAAATGAAATGAGACATGGAACAAGAATAAGGGCCAATTACAACAAAAAGTTTTATTCAAATTGAAGGCTTTATGGCTGGGCGCATAAATTACGGTTTCCTGACCACGAATTCCGATTCAGAAAACTGAATGCACGTCCTCTCATACAAAATGTTCAACGCAGCTTACACTATTCCTTTTTTTTTCTAAATGGCAAAAAAAACCCAACGTTCGGTTCTGAAACTTCCTAACAAAAAAACCGAAACGTTTGCACTAGGTTCACGAAATTCCATATCTGAATTCTAGATCAGGAAACCGTACATATACGCCCCGCCTAATGGCATAATTACACTTGATCGTTGGCCCCAATACGATTATAACGGAATTCAGGTAAACGACTAAGTGTAAATGAACAGAGTCGATTACCATATTCGGCTAGTTTTCATTTTGGTTACCCGATACCGTCTTTCAGCACGTATTCCAGTGTAAATATTGCTTCGGGTGCCCGAATTCGAGTAACCTCTTTCGTGCACCCGGATACAGGCTAACGACCAATTGTAATTGAGCCATTACAGATAATACCATCATTGTCAATTGAAATAAGTCAAACAGAAGTAGAATGAGGCCCAAACATGACGAGTTTTAAACCCTAGACTGTTGTCTGTTGACCCTAGACTAGTGGATGGTTTCTGCCACAAGTTGAGAAATTTATTTTTAATTTTCAGATTTTGCGTGATTCATCATATTTAGTAATGGTTTTTGATTTACACATCTAATGGTGTCGATTCTGGCATGATGCTCTAAACCTAAACTTAAATTTGACAACAGTGTATCCTTGTCATTCTCTATACAGTATGAAAAGGAGAGACTGATGTTAAATGTAGCTTTAAGTTTAGAGAATCACGCCAGAATCGACTCCACTATACAGGGCGTTTCACGGCTACCTCACACGGAGGGAAAGTATATTAAATATTGAAGATAGGATATTTTACTGAAAGAATACATCATTTTATTTTTAATATGAATTAAAACTGCATTTAAAGATTTTTTAAAAATCGCCTGCAGCAACTGGGATTCAAACTCGTGAAATTTCGAAAAAAAACACGACATATTTTAAGATAACCATCGAAAGGGTAAATCATAAGTATTATTATTTGGTAAATAACATAGCATCATAAATAAAAGAAAAGTAGTTTACTTGAACATTTTATTAAAAATTATTTAACAAACTAATATAAAATCGGATACGCTTCAATAAGTTAAAATGTTTAGTTCATCATCGTTGACCTTTATCATCCGCTGCTGTTGTTTCTGTAAGCTCATATCAAAACGTCCTAAATTTCTTAAATTATCCACTAACCTTTTAAACGCACATCGAGAAGGTACGGTCCTATCAGGGTATCTTTCGCGGTACCATCGCAAAGCTAATATTATGTCTTTGTGGTTCATAAAGTAACCGTCCATTAAACCCATTTTATTTTTATACGCCATGGTAAGTAAATTAACAAAGAAAATTCAAATAAAATTTCAGACGCTTGAAAATTTATGTGTTCCATTTTCGAATTATTATTTTTATAAATTTCAGCCAATCGCATTGTAACTGTGAGTTCAAAAAGAAATGCATACATTCTACAGTTTGTATATCACTTTATTATTTTTATCACGTATTAAGATATTCCTTTAATTTAAAATGCTATGTTATTTAGCAAAAAATTATCCTTGTGATTAAAACCCTTTCGATGGTTATCATAAAATATTCTGTGTTTATTTTTTCAAAATTTCACGAGTTTGATTCCCAGTTGTAGCAGGCGATTTTAAAAAAATCTGTGAATACAGTTCTTGTTATTATTAAAAATAAAATGATGTCTTCTTTCAGTAAAATATCCTATCTTCAATATTTAATATACTTTCCCTCCGTGTGAGGTAGGCGTGAGACGCCCTGTATACATAAGTTTGTAGAGAAACTATTCATGATTTAATTAAGACATAAATGAAGATGTACAGAAGAACTCGAATAATAAGTGAAAAATAAAGTAGAGCTACGCAGACCAGGGGTTTAATTTGGTTTAATTACTTTACAAGTGGGCTTAAAATTGGCAAGTTCCTCACCTTCTGCGTAGTCTTCTGCCTCTTGGCGACCAATCCCTTGGACCACGCGTTCATCCGCCTGCGTTTACGCTTCGCCGACTGAGGATCGCTCTTGTCTCCGTTCTGCGGGGTCCGCAACTTACTCTCGTTACCGGTCGAATCTGTCAGGTGAAGTGTGTATGTAAATGAATGAAAATTGCATATATACAAAAAAATATATAAAAGAGAAATTTAATCTGTTACACGTCAATAATAATAAGAAACGGTCAAGTGGGAGTCGGACTTACCCACCGAGGGCAAGTACAAATTTGTAGGAACGCATATACATTCGAATTTTATTTACGTTACGTCAAGGGGTCTTGACAGACAGACGAAAAAACATACAGACGTACAACAAAGAGATCCTATAAGAGTTGCGTTTTTTCTTTTGAGGTACGAAACCGTTAAAACACTGTATAACTAATTTCTAAAAATTAAAATCTGGTCACCATCATCAGTCTGTTAATGTCCCGACTGTTGACGCACACGCCTTCCCTATGGATGGGATAAGATGATTGGGCCACAGCCTACCACCCATGCCCAATACGGATTGGTGGGTGCTAAAAACTGCAGATACAAACGGGACCAACGGTTTAACGTGCATTCCAAAGCACGGAGGAGTTAGAGACAATGGATATTTGGTCACCCATCTGATGACCGGCCATTCCCAAAGTTTGATTAATTTCCACGATCGCAGACCGAATGCGCTAACCACTCCACCTCGAAGTCAGTGGCGGTACCTTCATCTTAGGTTTTTACCTTTTTTTGTCTAGGAAATGCCTTATGCATCCTTCAAGCACTGGGGCAGCGAGAAGAAAGTATGTGGGACTCCTCCCTGCTCATTTCAGCCAACCCTAGAGCCGGATGAAATGAGCTGGGCCCTACCTAATGTCCTGAACAGGGCCACTATTCTGAGAACCTCAGTTTCCCCAATGCGTATCGGGAGTGCGGATGTGGTCGTGGCAATTTTAGGTCATTCGGTCTTTCTTTCATGAAATAAGTTCACGCCCTTTTTCTACTATGCCAACGTAGTAACGAAGCTTATTGATGCCCTTTTAGAAAAAGTCTGCTGGACGGGAGGCAACAAATTCTTCAAAGGCATTTTGAACTGCGCCTCGGTAATTGATTTTTTCCTGGAAAAAGTCTGTAGGGGCAAGGTCTGGTGAGTATGGTGGATGACGACGATCTTCCAATCCCAATACCCTTAGCACGAACCAATAAGAATTCGTTACGCTTACGAAATGTCATTGTCAAATTTTCGAAATGTCATTGTCATTGGAAACTTGAACAGCAGCGCTACAAGGGTCATAACGAGAACTAAAAATCAGTTCGCATTTGGCGTATATTTAGACCGAATTTACCTATTCAAATTCTTTAATGGTTCGTGCTAAGGGTAAAGCTCTTGTAACTTGGAGACCGTCTGCTGTGCAGTATGAGGTCGCGCGTTGTCGTGCAGGAGCAGCGGAGTCGATTGACCAAAACTAGTTGGAGATGTGCGAGCTTCTCCATGATTGTGTTCAGTACTTCACAGTACACATTTGCAGTAATGCTCATCCCGTTTGGTAAGAAGCTGTTACGAATGACCTCGGCGCTATACCACCAAACAGTGACCTTCCCTTTTTGAGGGGTCAGTTTTTGTTTGGTTCATTGTTTAGGTGCTGAACCAGAATAAAAATAACTTGCTGAGCGCTTCCGATTGTCGAACAGAATTGATTTTTCGTCGCAAGTAACAAATGCTATTCGGTATGTCTTCGTTTGTGTGCCTGTTGAGCAGTGCAAGGCTCGACTCGACGCGTACTTCGCGCTGGCGATCTGAATGATCGAGAAGCACCGATTTGTCAAGCTTCTTTACCTTGCCAAATTGAAGCAAATGGACCAATATTGTTTTGATGCTAACATCGTAAGCTGCTGCTAATCTGCTATAGATTGAGAATCATCAGCTTCCACAATCGCCTTTAATTAGTCATTGTAGACTTAAGTTTTCGGTCGACCACGGGGTTCATTTCGAAATTTCCAGAACGAAAGCGGGCAAACAAGTAACGGGTGGTACAATCGTTAGTATTGGTCGCTGCGTATACTTCGTTGATGTTGCGTGTCGCTTCTGCCACTTTGCTGCCACGACGGTACTGATACTCACGTAAATTTACTACATATTCATAATGACGAAAAACCTGCAACGCTAACCCAAATGACTAATTTTCAAAACAGAATTCCATATTTTAAAGATAAAAATAATTTGAACTGAGAATTCTTAACGAAAAAAGAAAAAAGTGGACTTGAAATAGCCTGTATAAGCAGAGAAGCCCGGCTTGCCTAAACTAAACTCATTTCAACTGTTAGTAGATGTCATATCGCCTTAAATGCGGTACTCACGTAGATTAGAAGCAGTGTATATAAAGTCTGGCAAGTCGTTGTCGGCCATGTCGCCTTCTTCCCGTCGCTTTCTGGCGATCTCCTGGCATTCGACTTCGAAGTCGCTGTCCATTTCTACGTCTATGAGCGCGTGCGCATGATCTCGGAGTGAACACGCCTCGTGACGAATTTGTTTGTCCGATGATGTCCTATAGAGTAGATAATGATATTACTAAAATAGAAGTAGTACTTTTGTGGGTTTTTAAGAACTTGGAAACTAAATACTTTTACGCAATAGCCATGCTTTTTTGTCTTTTTGTATTTACCATGTCAACTTTTTCAGTGCGGTGTGATTTTCGAAAAATAAAAGGGAAATTAGAGCCCAGCCACTTACAAATATTTTTCCTTTAAATTACGGCGTTCAGTTCTTTAAGCAAAACAACATAACAAACGTGTGGGCATAATGAAAAAAATATATAAGACCAATTAATCATTTGCACAACTAACAATAACACAATAAATCCACCAACAAATTACACACACACACACGTTGCGTTTACAGCATTACTACGTCCACTAAAAGTGACCAATCAACAATGAGCTGTGCTGCGCCGTGCTGAGTTCATGTTTTAGGGCGACTGCTGAAAGAATTTGCTCGTGATAAAACGTATCCGTTCCTTATGTCTTACTAAATCCGAAGTGTGGTCGCTTTATGTGGATATGTTTTGAGAGTGAACTCTATTCCGTTTCATAGAAGAACTAAAGTATAGAAGTAATGCTATGACGATTGAGCGTACACTCCCATAGACAATAAATGAACGAGAAACATTTTCGTTCTTTTTTCGGAGAGTTAAAAATACATGCATGCATACATGCGACCACATTTCAGGTCTAGTAAAAAATAAATGAGATTCCTTCCTCATAAGAAACAAACGTAAAACCGAACCAAAAAGTATTACTGGCGTATTCGCAGGTTGCATTTTGACATTAGATAAAGGTAACCAAGATATTCACAAGGCTCACAATGTATCCAATTTGACGTTTGTATAGTGGTACGCACGCTGTTAAAAGCAACATAATTTTATTTGTTATTTTTTCGTATATATGTTAAAATAAGATAAATATATCAGTCGACTTTATTAGTTTCTTGTTCTGTGCATTAAGGAACTGACGCAACCTGTCACAAACGCCCACTTCCAATGACCTCACTGTCCAAAAATTTTGCCACACGAAACACAGCTCAGCACGTACTATTTTTTTTATTATAATAACATAAGAGGAGCTAGACGACTAAACAGATTATAACCCATTACAGCACAGCAAAACTTCATCTTAATTTGTCAACTAAATTGATAATAATTAAAAATCATATACTGGGGAATTAATTCTAACAACCAAAAAAACCTACTTACTAATGAGTCGCAAATAAAAGAATCACAATAACCTTTATAAGCATGCAGGTTGTCCATGAATATGAGTGGACAAAAGGTTAGAGGATGTAATGCAATTAATTACATAATAATATGTCAATAATATTCAATTAAATAATTATGTCCTAAGGAAGCGGTTTGATCATACCTATACATCCCTCTAGCCCTTTGAATGGCCGGCCAATGCGAAAAACAAATGTGATGGTTAAAACAACTTATAAACAATAGCACAATGTGATAATCCAAATAAAAGAAAATATCTCCACATCATTCATAGAAGGTGTACAACCATTCTATAACTTCTATATGCGTACAACAACAATTAATAATACTAAAAAAATATTGGTATTCTATTCAGGTATGAATCTCTTAACTTGAAACGTAATTTAACATCAGTCCTCCTTGTAAATTTGTATAGAATGACAAGGATACACTGTTGTCAAATTTAATTTTAGGTTTAGACAATCATGTCAGAATCGACACCTTTGTCGATGTAACAGAAGCTTTCATATAAAATAATTATTTTTAAATCAATAGGGATTCGAACCCTTTGAAGCTAGCGATAAGAATAATAATTTTATTACAAACTATTTTCTAAGCCAACCTTTTGGTTAATTTTACAAAAGGGTTATGGACACTTTAGCCTAAAATAAAGTTTATTATTATTTGATTACCCAAATGCATGTATCAATCAACATGAGCCCAATTTGCTCGTAAAAAAAATAACTTGATAACTTCAAAGAGACTACAGAGCGACCCAGGTCTTGTGGCACTTTTATGACATTGACAGGAGGGAGCTGCTGTGTATAATTGGTAACATGTGGATTACTAAGTACATAAAAATTCCTCACTAGGGGGAACGTTATAATCACACTAATATTATAAAGGCGAAAAATTGTGTGTGTGAGTGTGTATGTTTGTTTCTTCTTCACGTCTACACGGCTGGAGCGATTTTAATAAAATTTGCTATGGAGTTAGCTGACACCCTGGATTAACACATAGGCTACGTTTTACTGCGGGATAATATCCCTAATCCCGGGTATCACCGCGGGGCACAGCTAACAGCTAGTTTATAATAACTCGGAAAGAGTATTAGGAAATATGAAAGGGTTATTTGCACCTTCCTCTATTAATAGAAGGCTTATACCTTCTTAAAATTAGTTTCGATTTCTGCCACGCGCCACAAGATCTTGATCGCAATGTATTTCTTTATCGTGATATTTTTTTTTTAACATTTACCTGTCCGGATTGTACTCTAATGCGTTAGCGCATATGAGATCTATGTCGTCTAGAAACTCCTTCGCGCAGTTATATTTGTGCATATCGACCTTGGTCATCATCGTCTCCAGATCCATGGGTTCCTTTATGATGTCTAGGTAATCGGTTACCTACGAAACAGAGGAAATTTTCTATCATAATGGGTAACCGTTTACCATCAGGCGGTATAATAAAGCCAGAGAAGCCATATGATTAGCTCTCCATCAGGTCGCAGTTGCAGCCAAATTTTCTTACGCCGTTTTTAATGGAAACAAGGAGAAAAGTCTTCTGGTCCATTTGTGGTAATATAATTGTACTGAATAAAAAGATAAGGTAGGTCCAAAAATGACCGGCAAGAACTAATAATCGACATTCATGGAAAATACCAATGCAATGAAGCTCACTTGATAAAAATCGAAATAATGGACTAGCAGTATAAAATATATATTTAAAAAAAAAAACCTTGTAAGTTTACCTCTTCCAAATCGACGGGCTTGGTGAACTTGTAGAAGCGCCGGTTGGAGGCAAGCTTTCGACAAATATCCCGTAGGAATATACGCAGTTCGCGCAACTTGTAGTCTTCCTTGCGTTTGCGACGAGCTATTTCTTCTTCTGTTTCACGCGGCGGTGGGGGCGGGGGTGCTGCACACAACATTTACCGCCTTATTACAAAACGTAAATTAAAATAAATATCATCTATATCATTACATTGTATCGTTTCACGTTTTAATGACAGTCGTGACGTCACACACTAGTGAGATGCCACAATGCACAGAGAAACGTTTTTGCAGCAACTTGAAAATTTTATTTTTAATTTAGTTTTCTTGCTGATTTACACAACAGTAATGAAAATATCAACTTTTTATTGACTCCATAAACATTAGTAAATAACTTGAGATCGTATTCTAAAACTTGTCAAATACCCTAATAATTCATCAGAAAACGTTGATTTTTTTATGTTTGCCACAAACAAGCTTATGGCCTGTCTGATGGTAAGCGGCTATCGTAGCCTATAGACGTTTGCGATACCATAAATATAACTCGCGCCGTCGCCTACCCTGCTCCATCTCCTACCCCGTGGAGCCCTGGGACCTTACTCTTAAAAAACTAACCTCTAGGCAGTGGTGGCGGTGGTTCTGGGTTCTCGATGGGCGGCGGTTCCAATAAAGCTTCCGCCACCAATGGTTTGAGGAAACTGATCACTTCGGCGGCGTTCGGCTCGCGCATTTTATAAACGCACTCTTTGTACAGCGGGAACATTTCTTGTAGCTATTGAAAGAAATGATAGAAATAAATAGATACATTGAACCTATCTCATCATCAGCCTATTAATGTATTCACTGCTGGGGCACAGACCTTCCCTATGGATGGAATAGAGAGATTGGACCGAGACCCACCACGCGGGCCTAGTGCGGATTGGTGGATGCTAATGACTGTAAATGCATCCGCGGGACCAACGGCTTAACGTGCCTTCCAAAGTACGGAAGAGCTCGAGGCAATATGTTTTTGGTCACTTATCCAGTGAAAGTTGCTTTACTCAAAGATCGCAAATCGAACACGCTAAACACCTGCGCCATCCAGATCCTTTACGAACCTAACATTTAACCTGCTCTTAGAATATCTCTGATAGAATCTTACTTTTAACCTTATGATTCAACCAGTAGTCAGAGCGTTTCAAGTTCATAAAGATTTAAGATAAACTTCTTAAAAAAAGCTCTTTTAAAGGAATTCATGATCTTTAAGTATTATCTCCTACTCTTATTTAGCTTCGATTCGTCATCAATGTTTAAAAGATCTGCTAATAGTTTTGTGTTAAATAAAGCTTTAAGTATTGCTGTTCTTTATTTTCAATAAAAAGTAACATGTTCAAAAGGATCACTAAACCAAAATTTCATCTATATCTAGGCTATCTATATCTTATTTTGTTTACGATCCAACCTGAGAATGTAAGACACAAAACTCCATTAACATTGGTTTCTTTCTCAGCGCGAGTTATACAATAAAACTTACCCCTGGTGGTAAGTCAGAATGCGTCGCTTCCTTAGTGGCCAGCAGGAGTGTTATCGCCAGCTGATCGAGCACTAAAATCTCTCTGTTTCTCTCACTTGCACTGTCCCTCTCTTTCACCCACTCTAAAGAAGCAGCTCAATGAAACTTACCTCTGCTGCTAAGTCAGAATGCGCCGCTTCAGTAGTGGCCAGCAGTAGTGATATCGTCAGCTGATCGAGCACTAACATCTCTCTGTTTCTCTCACGTGCACTGTTCCTCTCTTTCACCCACTCTAAAGAAGCAGCTCAATGAAACTTACCTCTGCTGCTAAGTCAGAATGCGCCGCTTCAGTAGAGGCCAGCAAGAGTGTTATCGTCAGCTGTACAAGCACTAAAATCTCTATGTTTCTCTCACTTGCACTGTCAATCTTTCACCCACTCTTAAAGAAGCAGCTCAATAAAACTTACTTCTGGTGGTAAGTCAGAATGCGCCGCTTCCGTAGTGGCAAGCAGTAGAGTGTTATCGCCAGCTGATTGAGTCCGCCATAGTTGCAATAGAAGCGCAGTACCGGGCGCAGTGAGGGAATTCCAAACGGAGAGTATGTCCCGAATGAACAATACGCAACCGCGATCTGCGCGTCTACACTCAGAGAATAGCTGTAACAAACATCTATGTTTAATTTTGTGGACTCTCCGCTCAAGTGAGAGCTGGTAAAGTAACTTAGCCCGTTATTAATTAATTATCCATATATGGTATAGGTTGCCAGTCTTTTTGGTAGGGAAGTAGGTTGGCTTCCAGAATATATCTGGCTGGATTAATTTCTAATTATTTAAAATATTCTTGTGCTGTTTTGATACATATTTAACTAACACTGGTTAATAAATTTTTAAATATTTTAATGAGGTGTGTGTGATGAAAGTAAAGTGATATATACAGTTCTTGCCAAATCAAAAGGATAAGTAAAATCCACTAACCTTGACCGCCTACCTTCGCAAGTGAACGTAACGATATTAAATACTCTAGATACACCAACACGAACATAATCGTGCCCGAAACCTTTCCGAAAGATCCACGAAGTTGCGTAAGATGATCGCGTAGTTAAAGAGAACATAAGACATTATTGAAATTCAACTTTAATGTACTGTTTAAGGACTTAATAAAAACGCATGCGTCGAAAAGTTACGACAGTTCGAAATACAAGTTTCGAAAAACGTTCGTTCTGAGTGCGCGCGAAATAAGGTGTGGAAAAACCGACGATACTCATCCTAAATTAGTGAATCAATTTTAACTTACCCTCATGATAATAGGCAAGAACTGAACAATTCTCAAAAACATACGTAAGAATCAACCCTCAGACTGTAAGTAAAGTAGGTAAAATATTTATAAAATAGAATTGGCCCACAGCACATTTAGCGAATATTTATGCGTTGATTATCCCTGTTATGTCCATCAAAAAATAATTAAGGTCTGGCGGCCGTGGCAGCGTGGACTACTAGAAGAAATTCGACACGGCCACTATGGTCTCAGTAACAAAGCGTAAGGTGCTAGTTCGAATCTAGTCTGACACTGTTTAAAATTTGTCTTAACAAGTAACCACTCACCGATATAATGGCTTGCTCCGGACTAAATGCCACAGCGGAGTGCAGAGTCGACATACTGAGCTCTTTGACGGAACAATGTTCCATGTCCGCCAATATTGCGGGAGCGATGTATGTCTCCGCGCATTCGCCGGTGATAAGCAACGCGCTGGGCGTTAACGAACGTTGCGTTCTGTAACAAGTCGATAGCACGATTTTTAGCGAGGTACCTATCAGTCAATTTGATTCCTGACCCACCATAAGCTTATTCTCTTATAACCATTTCTAAACAATAAGGTAGATTTTTGCGATTTTTAGCGAGGTACCTATCAGCCAATTTGATTCCTGACCCACCATAAGCTTATTCTCTTACAACCATTTCTAAACAATAAGGTAGATTTTTGCTTAAATGTAACCTTGAAAAAAATAATATGTTATTTTCTGAGAAATTATATTTGATGTTGTAGATTTTGCGGGCGCTCAAGCGTTCTTATGACATAATTTTGACATTTAACTTTTTGGAGTTTTGCTCATAGACTAAGGATTTCCCTATCAGTTTACCAACGTTTTTTATAATATCGAGAAATTCAAAGAGTTCATGTTACATTTACGATTTTAAAAGTGATTTCCAAATTCAAACTACTACTCCGATTTTATCTATAACATGATCTATTGCATGGAAAATAAAGGTCATATTTCAAATATCTTTGATCCTCGCTTATTAACACAGTTTCTTTGTTACTAGAAGGTCCTAAATGCAATTACGCATTCCGTACAAAGGAAAACTTATCTGTTTTTACATTTTTAATCGAATTATCGGATAAGTAGATCACGAATCAATTGGTTCGATCGTACATTCGGTCTATATAGTTACAACACAAGACTATACCGCAATAATTATATTAGTTGTCAATTGTACGATAACCGATAATGAAACTAAACTTTCATATTGTCACAAACAATCTGGATAACGATTTATATAGATAGATATGAACCTTAACAGTGCGGCGTACGGTTGATGGTAATTGGAACTTGTATAAAGTTCAGACACTAAACTTCAATGAATGTAGCGTAATGAATATTCCGTGTTTACCATAGAACTGTCAAGCGTGAACTAGCATTCTAATTTCGAATCTCATCCCGACACCTAACAATATCGCGCTTCCATCAACGAATTAGAAATGATATTAATTATTATTAATGCATTATTATTATTATTATTTATGCATTATTCTCTAACAAAGGCTGATAAAACTTGGTTCCAAATTGATACAACTAAATGCGACACACACTGATGCCAGATTGGGGGGATTCCCCCCAAACTTGTGGGGTTTTTAAAGCTTTGGGATTTGATTGGGATTTAAAGAATTGGGCGGAAAATTTTTGGGGGGATGAAATTTGGGTTTGGGAGAAAGGGGGAGTATTTAATTACATTTTTTACATTAAAATAAAATTACTTTATAAACTTTTGATCTGTATAAAGTCGCGATCAACAGTCAATCAAAAGTCTCTATTTCTCATTTTGTACAGAGCATGACAAAGAAAGACTGTAGTCTAATTTAATTTTATTAGGCTTAGAGAGTCATGCAGGATTCGGACTTCTAAGTCCAAAGCCCATATAAAAAAAAATATCGTCGATCCAACTCAGTCGCTCGGTCAGTCTCAAGCCCATGTCAAGTCAAGCAAGTCAGTCAGTCGTTAATGGTCGTTAGCTTAAACTGCAAATCGATTTGACACTATCTATCTATCTATTGCTCTGCTAAATCGTAATTTGTGCAGAAATACATATTATGAAGTAAATATTGTATTTTTAAAAAATATTTTGCATGTTGCGGGTTTTTTTCTTTAAAAACCTATATTTTGGGGGGATTCCGGGTAAGATTTGGGGGAAGGCGAAATGGCTTTCTGGTAACACTGGCAACACGCACACAGACAAAACAAAATCCTGTGACAAATCAATTATCTGCAAATGAATCCGGCAGTCCATTCATTGGGTAAGATAATAAATCAAATATCTGCAAATGAAGCCGGCTGTCCATTCATTGGGTAAGATAATGTTAAATGGAAATCCCAACCGATCCCATGATCGGCGTTTTGGTAGAAGTTTTTCCGCCCCGCCCACTTGGTCGTTATTTACGTGGAACCTCTTTTTTTAGCGTAGTTCTTATTCCATATTATTTATAACTAGCTGTGCCCCGCGATGTTACCCGCGGTTTATTAGGGATATTTTCCCACAGTAAAACGTAGCCTATATGTTAATAAAGGGTGTCAGCTAACTCCATACCAAATTTTATTAAAATCGCTCTAGCCAGAAGTATACAAACAAACATACACACGCACAAACTTTCGCCTTTATAATATTAGTGTGAATCTTTGCCTGCACCTATAGAACAGGCCGATGATAATGATACTACTCACAGGCGGTGATGCCGTAGCAGTAATGAAGCAGCTTGAAGTTGCGCAGACAATAACGGTCCACAGTGTGAAGGTAGCCGACGAGCGGCCAATGGACTGCTTCGAGCTCCGGCCGCTACTAAAGAATCCATCGCGTCTAGGATATCACGTTTGGTTACTTCCACCTGTATGTAGAAGTGGTATTAATTTATTTATTGTAGGAAAACCAGCAGGTATTAAAATACAAAAATATATATTGGAAATATGACTTCTTTACATGTTAAAAGGGTGGCCAGCAAGCATATGGCCCGCCTGTTGGTAAACGGCCACCATAGCCTACAGACGCTTGCGATACAAAAAATATCACTCACTCGTTGCCTACCCTGACCTAATAAGCAGGCCTGGAATCTTACTCACCCACAGAAATACAACACCACCAAAAGGTAGTGTCGTCTAAGTGTAGGTGGTAGGTAAAGTGTAGGTCTTCTATAAGTTGGAGTTACTTCCGCAGACGGGCGCTCCAATTCAAAAAGAAAATACGCTTTGCCCTATCTCTCTTAAATGACATGACGCAGTAAGTCAATTATAGGTTTTCACGAATGTAAAAAATCACAGGGTATGTTAGAAATAAGGCTTAATTCCAAGGAGCAATCCATAGTGCGACTTTAACTCATGGCGGTTGAAAAGGTAGTTCAATTCGCTACGCAGTAACGAAAAGTAGGTATGCACGAAGTATTGCTGAAATAAAACCTGCGCATGGTTGCTCTCAATACATCATGAAGTTTGAATCGGACTATTCTTACTTTAATTCTTTCCACATCGTATTCAAAACTAAAGCAAGTGTCAAAGAGATATAATATCTTTACCAAATATCAAATGAAAAGCATTGCGCAATAAGTAAAAGTTAGACAATAGGGATGATGGAATTTAATTTTCTTCGTCTATCAGGTAGATTAAAAAAAAGGATTGGACACGTATTTTATCTTATTTCACATAATCAAAATATTACACAGGTATATTGGTGTGAAATGTCGCATGACGTCATGACTCGGTACAATTTTTACTTAGAAATGACGGCACGAGCCCCAAAACTTAGATACGCTTAATCTTTGTTACTTTTACCCCGTGATCACCTTTGTTAGAATCAATTCAATCAATGCAACATTTCGAAGTGATAATAATCATCACACCTAGTAGAATCTATATTAAACTGCCGCTGTGAGCTTGAAGTTGCTAGGAGAAACAAAATCTGACCATTATAACCACTGCATTTAGAATTAAAATATAAATCAAAACTGTCAATAATAGACTCACATTTTTTGCGTCTATGAGCAGTGCATATTCGCTATCGTACACTTGTGGATACACTCTTCTTAGCGCCTTCAATACCGCTTCCGAGCAGAGTGCTTTTAAATCCGATCCTGTACCAATAAAAATAACAAATCTTATTTCAGTTTCTCCAATAATAATGTCCACAAATTTCTACCGCTGTTACAACTACATATAAGTTGTAAAAAGTATCATTCTTGCCACAAAATTACACAAGTCAGCATATTATAGCATATAACTCGTGTCATTAAAGAAATGAATCGTAAATGACGAAGTGAAAACAATTTGTCCCTCTCGCACATGCTATCCTAAATAACGTGGGAGAGAGACATATGACGAAATTTTCGATTTCGTTCAGTTGTTTTTTTCTTAATTCTTGCCAACGAACAAAATCGTGCCCGAAATCTGTCCAAAAGGTACATAGGACGATCTACGGAGCTACGTAAGATGATCGCGTAGTCAAAAACATTGAAAGTCATCTTTAATACATACTGTATAAGTTTTAATTTAAACGCATGTGTCAAAGAGTTATGACAGTTCGAAATGCAAGCTCGTAATTTTTTTTGAGTTATTGCTATATAGAACAAAGACCTTATTTCTTTGACTCTACGCGCAATTCGACCGCAAGAAAAAGAGACGGCTATATAACCGACCATGCATTTGAATATCACAAATATTTTCTATTAAATCAGTTTAAAGTAAGTAATACAACAAAATTTGCTTCAAATGCGTAAATTAACAATTATTGAAGTCAAAAATACGGAACTTTACGTACTATAAATATTTTAATATCGTTGATTCTGACCCCTAAATTACACCAGTCAGCATTATATCAATACATTTTATAAAGTTGCTTTTAAAAATACGTGTTTTATTGATCAACATGTGCTTTAATTTGGGTTCCATTTCCTTAACCTATGGTTAGTCCATTTACATTGCAATAAGGTGGAAAATTGGGACCTTGCAATGAATAAAAATTCGAAACTATTTGCATTAATATATACCGTCATGACGACTTATGGCTCTTTGATATAAGCATTTTTAATATAAGTTGTTATTTATTTAAATATATTTTAAACGATGAAATTAAATTATGTCTTTGAAAAAAATAGAAAATATATTTTTTTTATTATGTTTTTATATTGATTTTGTTAGAAATTTACATTATTATAATAAATAAATTGAGGAGCCGGCGAACAAAACGGTACAATTACATAAAATTAAATTTTACAGGAGCTGTATAAAACTTAATGACATACCTCCAGTGAGCTTCTGGCTTGGTTTTTAATTTATAAATTTTAACACTGTATTGGAGGTTTTGGTTGAAAATTATTTGAGATTCAAATTTAACGGGCCGGAACCTCCAGACTGTAAAAATAAAGTAGTTTGATCAGATGCGTAATTATACCGTTTTGTTCGCCAGCTCCTCAATTAATATTCCTTATTTGCTGTGTCCAACAGGGTCCATAATGTGATCTGTAAATATTTTAAGCACAATCAGTTATTCATCGTACCTCCATATCCGCTGGTCAGTTGGGCTATATGGTCCAACTCTTGGTGGGGTATCTTCGGCGTCCAATGCTGCGTGTAGATGTGCAGTATATCGCGTCGGGCGGCGGTAGCGGGCGGTGGGAAGTACAGCTCGCGATCGAATCTGCCCGCGCGCCTCAACGCCGGGTCTACCGCGTCCAGACGATTAGTGGCGCCTATTATCACGACCTCTCCGCTAAAAGATACATAAATACTGGTCACTAATGTTACAGGAAATCACCAAACTTCAATCGATAAGCCTATACTCAACAATGAATGAATTCATTATTACCTATGCTCCACAATAAATGAATTATTATTATTATTAACAATGGCCTTATTAATTAGCTCCAACTTTCGGCAACACTAGCTGGACTGCGTTTAAAAACTAAGCTGCAGGTTGCAAAAATGACACTTTTGACATAACCTCCATACATTTTATGTTAATACTAGCTGACCCAGCGAACTTCGTACCGCCCTAAAAAAATAGGGGTTGCCCAGCGGACAAAATTGTGAATCTAAACCATTCTCAGATCCCCTTGAACACACACAAAAAATTTCATCAAAAACGGTCCAGTCGTTTAAGAGAAGTTCAGTGACATACACACTCACAGAAGAATTATATATATAAAGATTGAAACGACACCGTTAAATAATTACACTCAGAGCGTAGGGGTGGAATGCAGCCCTTTAAAAGTAGAAATGCCAAATGTCAGTAGGAATTGCCTGCGAATGCGCGAGTGCTTATTATTTCCTCATTAATTAGATTATATACTGGTTAAAAAAATCAGTTTCTAAAGTAAGTGAGCCGCAAGCCTATTATGTGCATTATATCGCGTTTGGAAGTACAGCTCGCGATTGAATCTGCCCGCGCGCCTCAACACCGGGTCGACCGCCTCCAGACAATTAATGGCACCTATTATCATGACCTTTCCGCTAAAATATACATAAATACTATTTACCAGTGTTAGAGGAAATAACCCTTAAATAGCCTTATTATTTAGCTATAACTTTTGGCAGTAACTAGCTGTAAAAGTGACAGATGTCAATGGGGTTTGCCTAAGTACGCGTCAACGCCTTTTATTTCTTCTATGATCAAATCAGTGAAGAAGTAATAAAGTTGGCACATCACAACCATGTGCCTAGCTACTATATTCAGTTTCTTAAATAAACCGAGTTTCTCTATTACATTACTAGTGTATTGCAAGTCTATTATAGTAAGACGCCATACCTTCAATCAACAATTCTATAGATAACGGGTCAGCGCGTAAAATACGTCTCGGTAAATATAGCTTCACTTGAGGCGTGAGACCTTATTTTAAATTAGTTCCGTTATTATATTAAGAAAGTAACTTGCTGGCCAATGACTGGTAAAAATATTTTATTATGTGGGTCATAAGGTTGATTTCACATATCCATCATCACCTTTTTATCACCTTTATCGTTCTTTTCCAAGTATCAGATATAATTTTTAATAGAAAAAGAGTTCACAATCAGTCCCCAGATTCGGATTTAATGACCACAAAACACTATTAACCAAATTTCTAGGTTTGAATGAGAATAGAAAATAAAAGAAAAAGAAAACAACTGAGGGACAACTCCGTGCAGACACGAACTACGTTATAGATTCCAAAGCTAAACTATCAAACACAATATGTACCGTTATATTTTTATTTTGAAGCATTTAACTGCTCTGTAATGCTATTTTTTCTTTCTAATGTTTAATACTTGTAAAGGTATTAATTTGACATTGTGGGTTACCTATAACGTGAAGAGATGACGCTACCTTGCAGCCTAAGAAATACTAGAGAAAATTCGACACAGAAAATTAGGGCTGCGGTAGCATAATGGTCAGTGCATTCGCCCGGATAGGGGAGGGTGTGGGTATGACTCCCCACTGCTGCCTGATCCTCGTGGATTTTTTTCTAGTAAATTTTCCTTTAGATTTAAACAATACTTACCGGTCACACAGTCCGTCCATCTCAGCCAGCAGAGTGCCCACTACACTTGTATGGACTTGTTCCTGTCTTACGCTTCGCACCGGCGCCAAGGCGTCTATCTCGTCGAAGAATATTATGGACGGCTTCATCTTATTCGCCTGCAGTCAAATAACATTTTATAACTACATAGGTATTCTATTCTAAGCTTAGTGCTTTTTAACACGCTTTTATTAGGACGACCTGTATGTAACTATGTAATGGAATCTAAGGTAACTAATTTAACCATCTTTCAAGAATCGTGGCGTAATGAAAATTGCAGCTGTATGTAGTTCTGATGACAATACAATAATATGGTACTGTCGAACTGATCTGATGATGGAACCGGAAGATATGAACTGGGACTTCATGATGGAACATTGTATCATAGCTTTTTTTTGGATTTCTTAGAAATTAGAACTAACTAACGCCCTAATTTTTTTTTTTTAATTTCATTAAAAAGAAGGTCCGAATACCGTTAAATGCGTTGATTTCTATTATTCCGTTTTGGATCCTTGGCAGGTATCCTGGACACAAGACTTTGTGAGACAAGGATCTTATGACCACGGAGTCTGTAAAGGATCCGAAACGTTCAGAATAATAGGCTATTTGAAAAGTATTTTTGATCTGTTGCCATGTGACCGAAAACTCCTTTAGCGTACTCCTTCCTTAAAGACCGGTATCGCATTGTGATACTTCTAGTGTGTAGGTATCTATGGGCGACAGTGATCACTTACTATCAGCCGGCAGCTCATATGCTCCCTATATTAGAAAAAAAACTCCTATGATTAGCAGAGTCTAAAATGACGTCACCCACTTTTAAAAAAGCTAACGAAGTAACGAGTACTTTATACTGTTTGACGTTTTAATTAGCCGGGCGACGTACAATGCCCGTAAGACGCCATATTTGCTAGAGAAACGCTTCCGCGGTATATTTGAAAACATAAATTTTATTTACTGATATACGCAACAGAATTATAAATAATATGCCCTTTTATGATACGAAGGCACTATACACTAATAAACAACGATTGAACGTTTTCAAAAGCTTATCAAATAGATAGAACCAATAAAGTGTATTTGTACCGTACCAGTTTGAAAAGTTAATTATGAAAGTAATTAAAATTAAATGCACTCACCTGTTGAAACAGCAGCTTGAGATGCCTTTCGCTCTCACCGACCCACTTCTTCAGACAATCGGCGCCCTTCCTCATGAAGAATGCCACCTTCCTTCCGCCAACCAGCGTACATTCGTTGGCCAGAGCCCGTGCCAATAAAGTCTTGCCAGTGCCAGGCGGGCCGTGGAACAATACGCCCTTAGCCGGCCGAGTGCCAAACTTTTGAAACAATTCCGGGTACATGAGAGGAAAGAGAACCATCTCGCGGAGGCATTTAATGTGTTCCTCTAGACCGCCAACCTGATAGAAAGAATAGAGTAACAATCATAATTATTCAGAAACTAACGAAACATAGGTATAATGCAGAAAATGTTATTGAAATTCATACATTTGGATATTACAACTGTGATACCTTATAATAATAATATATTTATTGTACAATGGTGTCGATTCTGGCATGATTCTCTAAACCTAAACTTAAATTTGACAACAGTGTATCCTTGTCGTTCTCTATACAGAATGAAAAGGAGAGATCGATGTTAAATTTAGTTATAAGTTTAGAAAATCATGACAGAATTGACACCAATGTATACGGTATATACCTATGATATGGCTATACAATGAAAATATACGTGCAATTTTTCCCTTTGTGAATAGTTGTGTGTACAAATAATTGATTTTTAAGAAGTCGATATACGTATAGAAAGTGTCTACTTAATTTTGTTTTTCAGATGTGTAAACACAATACTTAAACAGTAAAAACTATCATTTTTAATTTTGTTTTCCGCGAGCATTGTTCGACGTGACCTGCCGTTGAGCACTGGCAGCTCGCGGAACGAACCACGCCAGATATGGCTCACTTTTAGTTGCACCTTTTTTGTACACGTATACACCCCGGCTAACTTCTTGAGCAACGGCCATAGACAAGGAAGTACGCGCAGTAGCAATTTTACACATAAAAACATCTACTGCCCAAGTTTTTTGACTAGGCTTTTGCTCAAGAAGTTTGCCGCTACCTATACTAGGCTTCTAGGTGTTATTATTCTAACAGTGATCGATATAAAATGCTAAATTCTGTTGAAGTTATGCAGATCTTGTTTAATATCATTAGTTCGCATTCGTAATTGATCGCGTACAGATACTTTCAATATGCTTGATACAATGTGAATCATATATTAATTGTAATAAAGCTCAAAATTACTTGTAGACTTACATCGAGCGAATATTACATTTTAAAAGAATTTCATTGAATAATGGTGTAAGTAAGTGGTAATTCTAATTTATTTTATAACAATGAAGTTTTGTGTTTTGTGTATATATTGTAATGATCAACTGTGTTATATGTCATTATAAGCTCACCGATGAGAATCTCACGCTGCCGTCAACTTCAACGGGTTGTATGTCCCTTAATGCCCTATCGGTTTTCTTGTCATCAGTAGACTTTGACTTTTGTCTGAAAAATATTAATGTCCTTTAATACCGTATTAACCAACAACTGAAACTGACTTTTTTATGTACGAGAAAAATATTAATAATAAATCACTTTTTTATTATAACAGTAAATTTTACAGGTTTTTTTTACACTAAAGGGGTGGTAAACAAGCATATGGCCCGCCTGGTGGTAAGCGGCCGCCATAGCATGAAGGTTAGAGAGAAGGAGAACGATCGCTACGTACTAAAAAAAAAGCATTAGCCCGCCTGTCCCTGAAAATTTGTATAATTTATAGTTCATTTTTCAGCCACCAGCCGCGCTGCCGTCGGTAAGTAATATCTGTGAAGTTAGCTGTTTATGAGTACAAGTAGATGAAGTTATTTGAATAATGTACAAAATTTTCTTCGCGGCATTGGTCATTTCTAATTAGCCCGCTTTTATTGAGACAACTTAGCGATCGCAGTGCGTCACTTATTTTTTCCATATTTCTGGGACACTTTTTTCTACAGCGATCATTCTCCTTCTCTCCAACCTCCATTAGTATAGACGCTTGCGATACAAAAATATCATTTGTGCCGTTACACATATTATTTATAATTCTGACAGTGCTATCAGTGCCTAAGTTTTGTGGAAATGACCAAACAAGATAGAATGTCCCAAATAAATAAATAGAACACGATAATAGTAATTAAAAACAGATAAATATTTTCTTTTATAAAGTACATACCTTCCCTTGGTTTTATTTTTCATAGAAACATTAAGGTCCTCCTCTGTATCGCTGCTTGACGTGCTACTGCTACTGCTACAAGACGGTGACTGAGCTGCCAGTGTGAAAACCAGATCGTTTAATAATAACCTTTATATATTACTAGTGGCCCGCCCTCGCTTCGCTTGGGTGTAGAGCTGTAGTGTAGAATTCAATTTTTTTCACATCTTTTAAACCTTCCCTAGACCTCCACGAACATTTCAAGACCTAGATAAGATAAATCCGTTCAGCTGTTCTCGAGTTTTAGCGAGACTAACGAACAGCAATTGATTTTTATATATATATACTAGCTGACCCAGCGAACTTCGTACCGCCCTAAAAGAATAGGGGTTGTCCAGCGGACAAAATTGTGAATCTAAACCATTCTCAGATCCCCTTGAACACACACAAAAAATTTCATCAAAATCGGTCCAGTCGTTTAAGAGAAGTTCAGTGACATACACACTCACAGAAGAATTATATATATAAAGATATATATAGATTTACTTAAGAGTTGAAATTCACCTTTTACTTTGATATCAATATAGCAATCATCAGCAACCAAGTTATCACTAAACACAGATTCTGTCAATTGATTTCAAACGTTACACTGGGAAATTGATGTATTGTCCGTCTTTTGTATGTTTATTATAATACAAAATAAGCAGGATAAAGAAGGTACTTACATCTTATTGTTTTCCTACGAAGAATTTTGGGTTTCCTCTCCCTTAAAGAGTATGGCTTCTTTCTAATAGTGAATGTTTTAGCTGAAAAAAAAAATCGTGCTTTATTTCTGAAAGTTTCCTTCACCTTCAAGATTAAACCAAAAGCGCTAGCCACTGCGCCGTGCCGCGCCAACTTTAGAGTGTCAACATAGTAGTAGAGTGAATACATGTTTTTTTTGATAATTAATGAGATGGAAAATCAAAAATCTAATACATTATGTTACAACAAAAACATATTTCTGTGTGTTTAATTTGATTTAATTTATTGAACATTATTGAGAGATTGAGGCATTTGAAGTTGTGCATATTATCGATTTTTCCGTAAACTAGCTGCAGTAGAACGATCAGTACAAAAAAAAAGAAAATAGTATTTGCAAATATTCTTCATTAACTTACAATAGGAAGAATAAATCTACTGATTACTTCTATTGGAAATAGACAAAATCTTTTCCAAGGGAGTAAACGAGGCGAACAAAAATAACGTTTTTTTTGCAAAAAATGTGAAAGGGCTCTTAAATGACGGTGACGATGAGTGACCGTATTCCGAAATGTGACTATTGTTTTAGCCCGAGTTATTGTGGGGACGGAAAATGTTCGCGATAGCGCGACAGTATGGCCGTAGCGTGTTTGTCAATTACCTCTGCCCCTGGTCTCGCGCTGAGCGATCTGTACGAACGCCGGTTTAGCTTTCCTGGTACGATTGGAGCGACGAGGTTGTCGACTCAGAGATATTTCGCTGCCTGATTCCGAAGAAGACTCTGTTACGAAAAGATCTACCTTTTATTCAAGTTGAAACACAATCTATAGAGAAATATCAAAGGGATAAGATTGCGGAGCTGAGAGATGTTAATAAAACTGAGGTATAAGATATGTTACATTAGATTAGATTTCTTTAGTGATGGCTCCCTCGGGATTTGGCCAATATCCGGTGTAAATTATTGTTTCAATTAATCCTTCAAACTTTGGACGATCAGGCTAAGAACACACGGAGCGATTTTGTTCCGCGTCCTAGTAATGATCCTCATTGTAAATCGTTTGATAAAAAAACTAGAATTTATTTTATCCCTATTTCACTTCAACAAAAGGCATTTACGGAGGTTGTATTCTTTGTTCGAAAGTCCAAAATTACAGGCCATACAACGAAGCGTGTGGTAAAAATTTTTACCGCATGCTACCATACATGGCGCCGTGCGTATTCTTTGTGGTTTTTTTTATTCGGTCGAACTTTAAAAGCACTTTTAATCTATACCTCTGTCTCACTTTTATATTAAAAATAAAAAGAGACGAAAGATATCGTTCTAATATTCACTACTAGCACGTTTGGAAATGCGCGCCATTTTCATATTAGAAAAAGTATGCTTCATTACCCAAAATAAATTTAGGTACTGTTTTCTCCCAAATGTGATGAAAAATGTGGCATGACATTCGTTTGGAATTGGTTTTACAAACTCGTGAGTATGGTAAACCCTCGGCTTTGTCTTGAGCTTGTATTCGTCTAATCGTTTGTGATATCCAACTTACCGAACTAATATCATAAATAACTATTGTGTGGCCAATAAATAAATAAAAGTGAATTTTGAAATAAAACAGTTCTGTGGTTGCCCACAGCGGCTGAGGGCAAATACCGCTCAGTTAGTTCTTAGCTCAATGTCATGCATGCAGAAATGTGATCACTTAAGAACAAAACCGAATGAGCCTGTTACCTGTTTCTTGTTGACTATCTTCTTTCTTAGGTCGACCTTTTCTTCTAGTGGTTCTAGTTGGAGCTTGATTACTGAAACAAGACAAAGACATGCATTTTAGCGAACATATAGTCTTTTAAAAATGTATACATACATAATAGGATATTTTCCAAATTTAATTTTTATTTTTAGAAAAATTAAAATAAATCAATTAATGTCTTTTTTTCTCCATTAGACCAATTAAAGTTGAATTTATTTTTAATGGTTTTGAATTTACCGCCAAAACGCTCGGTTCGATGATGCCTACTGTGTGACGTCAACTTTTGTGTAAAGAACTTTAACACCTATGTAGTCTGTGGACCTTCTGTGATTACGAAGTACTCATTTGACGATTTCTTTGTTAGAGTATTTCTATTTTACTTATTTTCCACAATGCAAGCCAGGTTTCTGAAAGCCGACAATGCAAATCTTCCTGTAGTAGATGTTTTATGGATGCAAATTTCTTCCCAACTAATCCTGATTTCTGTGCTTCAGAGTTTCGAAACATCAAAAATTTTGTGTAAGTATTATACTATAAATTTATCCCAAACGGAAAATAAGTTAATAATTTGACCTTAAGATGATTACTACGCTGATGATTATTTATCTAAATAATAAATTTTTATGTTATGTGAACCTTTCGCCAATTAAGGTTGTGTACACATTTCATTTCAAAATTTATACAAATCTTCATGTGACAAGATATATCATTAGTGGTTAGTGCGTTCGGCTGCAATCGTTACAGGGGTGACCAAAAATTCACTATCTCGAGCTCCTCCATGCATTGAGGGCATTAATAAGCTGATGATGATGATATCATAAATTAGCTAATGATGATACCTTTCACTGTCTTGATTCTGTTCTGGCTTCACAATCTCGTTGTTTTCGCTGGCTGGAGGTGCTTCTTCACCATCTTTATTCAACTCTTCCTTCTCTACAGGTGCTGGTTTCTTCTCTATGACTGTTTGGTTGTTGTCGTCCTCCGAATCAGATTCAGAGGCATCCTTGAAGTTTTATTTTATTTTAAAGAAAATACTTGTTGACCTTAATGTAATTAAATAACAAGAGCTTTTTACTAGAAGAGAGTTGAGTGAGAGAGCGTTCTAGTGACAACTAATGTATGCAACTTAATATTTAATATTTACTTACATTAATCTTTTTATTGAACCTAGCAGATGTTCTTCTTTGACGTGAAGACAGTTGTGTGTCTTCGTCTGTATTGGCCGGAATATTATGGGGCTAGAAAAATAAAGAAATGTGTTTTTGGATACATAACATACATTACAAACAATGCATTTAATGAAGAATTATATAACATAGATGGGTCGACAAATTGGCTCCTAATTTCCTGATTCGAGGGAGAGATTATTTGACAAACATTTGAAAGTTGGTGACAAAAGAAGCTTTAATTACTACTTACTAATTTCTTAGTATTTCTTGCTTCATCTCCTGAAGTGAATTCATCAGACGAACTTGAACCAGGGAAGCCATATGAATCAGGATATCCCTTGACCTTAAGCTCATTGGTAATCCAGCTCTCATTGAAGTTGTGATGTAGTAGTTTACGTTTGCGACAGCTTCTTCTCACATCTGAAAATATAAAAAAAATGATTTTCAATATTTATAATAGAATGTTCGTTATTTATAATTAATTAAAATATAAAAGAGTAAAAAAAAATGATTTACAAAATATGTAATTGTTTTAACAAAAATTGTTTTAACACATAAAATATTATGTGTAATTTAATATAGACTTATTAAAAATTATCTTGATTCAAGGCAAACCAAAATAGTATAATTTAAAATCAGTAAAAAAAATACTAAGTACATACTTTCTTGTATTGGTTTATCTTCACTATCTTCTACATAATTTTTTCTTGGCTTACTACGAATCCTCATACTCCTATTAGCAGAACTATTGTCTTCAGCAAAGAATACTCGCACTTGTCTTGATCTAAAAAAGCAATATTTCGTAAAAAATGATTTATTTTACAAAAAAAAAGTATTTATTATTTTCTTACCTTCTAGAATATTTTTCAGGTTCGGTGTCGCTCTCTGGGAACATTATGCGTGGCATTTTGATCGTGCGGCGACGACGGCTATCTAAAGGACCATTTTAAAGTTAATATTGCATTCAGCTACAAAATTATTAACCAAAGAAAATCTTAACTTACATTTAGTAGGCCAATGTTGTATCTTCCTTGTTACTTTATATTGGCTACTCCGCAGTTCTCGCTGTGACCAATTTGATGCCTTAAAAGCAATTAGTATCATGAAAATTTATCCATAAATAAATTAATACAGAACACTTAAACCTACGTGCAGCATGTAGTCATGTAAGTTGCACCAACAAAAACATAATTAAATTAGCAAACACACTTTTGTAACTTTTAACATTTTCAACTTAAATTAAATCTGGGGTGCTTTTTAACAATATATAACTATATATATTTTTAAAACGAAAAATTAAATAATAAATGATGTTCAATGTTTACATAAAACAACAAAAATGGATGCTTTGCAAATTGCAAAGGCTATATTGCTAAAAATAATAACCATATTAAATGGTACAGAACCCTTTGAGCCAAGTAATAAATTACATGTGATTATCAAAACATTTACTACATAATAGTCAACAGATCAATTGTATTACCATGTAGAAGTAGCAATACCAAATATTCAAGTTAAAGTTAAGTGAATACTTTGTATTGTAGTAATGTCTAACAAGCCAGTGGTGTCAATATTTTGGCATGAATCTCTAGACCTAAACTTGACAACAGTGTGCCTTGTCATTCTCTACACAGAATGAAAAGGAGTGACTGATGTTAAATTTAGTTTTAAGAATATAGAATCATGCCAGAATTGACACCATTGGCAATATATTGCTAATTTTACATCATGTAAAGCAGATTTTCATTACACCCCCTTAATCAATTATATACTACATTATAAGTTATATATTTTTTAAAGATAAAATTGTCTTATAAAACCTAGAACATCCATGCTATTTATAGTAAATCATTTATTAACTTTTTGAGCTGAAGTTCAAAGAAAATCATTGTCTTTAATACCAGAAACAAAGTAAATTATCAAACCCCAAATTAAGGCTCAGTAAAAGAAGCAAGTATTTTCTACACTTTAGTGTTACTTTTTATAACAAAATATCTACTGGTGCAACTGTTACAGAGACAGACACTAAATTTAAAAACTTTGTTAAAAAATGACTAGGTAAGTAGTATTACATTTAAGTTATTATTGGTGTTAATTCTGGGGAGAATAATGCCAAAATCTACACCATTATCATTTTAAATATGCATGTTTTGTTCAAAATTTATATGGATAATGTCAATAAAACCTGTAAAGGCTTACCTATATTTATTTTCTCTTAATATAAACAAAATAATCATCTGCCACTAACATTACCAGGCAACTAATCCCTTAATATCTGTATTTAGAACTGCACCCATACCCATCTAACTCCACCTATTTATTTATTTTACAATGCCAAGTTTTAATCTATTGAGGCATGCTTTCTTAATCATTTGAAGGTCATGGAAGATGAATTGATTTTATATTATTGGTACTTAGGGTACCTAGCTATCACAGGCAAATATTTGAAAATATGTGATCAATTTGCTTCTAAGAAAAACAAGCTCCATTGAATATTCTGCTGCAGTGATATAAACCCTTTGGGGAATATTGATGTGGCAGCATGAATTGTCATCAAAACAAAGACTTCAGTTGTTGTCTTTATTGTTCCACAAATCAATAAAAGATTAATTTAACATTCAGAAAAGACATAATAAAAGCGCATGCATTTACTTGCTTGCATCATCCAATAAGGAAACTGGGACAGGAAGTTGACACATTCTATCTTTCAAACAAAGCAGAGTAACAAAATTAAAGGATAATTTAACTATAAACAATGTGAGAATGTTTCACCTTCTCATCTGAGACGCTGCCAATGTCGTTTAAAGTATAATTCCCATCGTCAACCTCCCCGTTCTCTCCATTACTGCGACGGGTTTTCACCATTGCAATGCTGGGTAGTTAACGTATTACATTCAACTTGCAATGTATAAAACATTCACGTAAAATAAACACAGTAATTTACATGAACACTACTCGGAAAAATGTTTATAGTGCAATGCAATAATTGTAACTTTACAGCTAATCCGACATAGAACGAGCGTTATCGTTTGCACATGTCGCTACTAACGCCATGTTAAACAGATAACAAAACCCAAGATCTCGATAATTTTGAATGATAAAACTCACCAATTAAAACTACCTCACTTAACGAGAACATAAAAATGTATTCAAAGCACTAATTATACGAAAATGCACAAGTTCAACTCAATTTTGTTGAAAACGAAATTCACAAGCAGTTACGGTAACACGATGTTTTTATTGACAATGACAATGCTGTCATGTCATGCCGTCTGCTGTCACTGCTTTTTTCCCGCAAATCCCACCAACTGTCAGCAAGCAAGCATCAACGACCGGACCGGACCGGGCGCGAAGTTTTTGATGTGTCTCTGAATAAATTCAGAGGTCCTCTCGCTTTCCTGCAATTTGTGGGAGTGATTTTGTGAAATGGGACGGGGAATCTGATTTGATTTTAGAACATAATGTTCAAATGGCTTATTCTTTTTGTAATAGGATTTATTTCTTTTTTTACTAATATAAGGTGAGGTTTCAAATGTTACACATCATACGCGACCACTGTAAGGCTCGCTCGTTTTTTTTTATTACTTGTACTTTAATTCCAAGATCTTAGTGAATTAGAAAAGCCTAAAAATTCAATACAATTTTAACCCAGCAATTGGCCTAGACTCTACTCTACTACTGCCACCCCCTGTGTGCTCTAAGCCTGTCTGTGATGTGAAATGGATTGGGTGGGGAGTTTTTGGCGGGATTTCATCGAGTGCGGTTGGCGTCTTATTTCAATTATTCTTAAATTCGTTCATAGTGGATATTGTGAAATAAAATTGGTGTGATTTTGTGTTACAACCATCTGCACAACTGAAGAATTAGTGGAATCTTTAAAATATACGCTATTCCGGTCAAGTGGACGAGAGAACTTTTTTAAAGTGTTGACTACCTCACAGAAGCTAATCAAAAAAACCAACTCGATACATTTCGTGCCAAACACTACAAGAAACATTAGAATGCGTCACCGACTTTCTAATAATAGGGGAGCCCAAGAGGGGATTTGGGGATTTACTCGAGCGCGGTAGATTAATATATGGGAAAATACCTTACATCTAGTAGAGTACCTCTACCAAATCTGAGGTCTCCATAGTGCCGCGCGCGTAGACCAGCCGATCAGAATAGTAAAAAATAACGATAGGCGGAAATACTCGAGCGCGTCACATTAAGGTATGGTGGTTTAATTACATGCTGAAAAGTGTGTATTTCAATAATCTGACGATTAGAGCGTGGCGTAAGGGAGTGGGAGGGTTGTAAAGTTGCAAAAAAAACGATGTCTGGACATTCTCGAGCGCGGTTTAATTTATTTTTAATTTAAAGGTAATAATTCAAGGATCATGGAAAACATATAATCTGCCGAATTGGACAAGCCTAAGTAACAAAAATCATTAATAAATTGCATGCAGCTGCAGCGAAGCATGTATTTCATACTACGCGCCTCTCTCTCTATTTCGCTCTTTCTCTATCTTCCACTCTCTCGCACCGTCCCCACATCACTTTCTGTCTACCATTTATCTTTTTTTTAAATATCGAACATGTCTGTGAATACGTAAATAAATTTTTTCGCCAAATTTTTGCACGAACCGCTGAAGCAAATGAGCTGATTTTGTTTCAATGAGTGTGTCTTGGGCTAATAACCCTTATTAGATTTTCAGCTTAATTTTATTTGCATGCTGCTCTTTACGAATTTTATTTATCATATTCAATGATTTGAAAAAAAACAAGGAGAAAAATTTCTTTAAACCGTCAGATTAAGAAAATCCCTCCGAATATCCGTCAGATTAACATTCTTCCGTCATCAGAGACACAAGGGGCATATCACAGATTACTATATATTTAGCAAGCTAGGGCATCACAGACTAATAAGAGAATAGGGCATATACAATGGTAGTTTTCCAATTACAGAGCATAATGCGACTCAGTGGCGCACAATGCCGAATTATGCTGATGCTTAATTGGAATGTGAATTAGTTTTCAAATGCACAAGCAGAGTGCGTTAAGTTCAGTTTTGAAAAAAAAGTCAATTGATGTACCTTCATCCATACTTATATTTTTTTTTAACACAGTTTGAATTAACTTTGATTATTTAAAAAAACTACAATGAAAAAAAAATTCAAGAATAAATAATTTTACTAACGATAATATATAAATAAAACCTATCGATCAATGCCAACTCAACCCGGCGTTCGCACAGTTGGGTCTATTTGACCCGCGCAGTTTTCAAATGAGCTTGTTTCTTAAAATGTTTGTGCGACGTTGCCAAACTTCTCAGTAGCTGGAGCTAATGGTACCCCCTTCGCGCGGGATATCGCCATTCAGTCGTGTTGCGGCCTCAGCGGGTGATAGACACGGCCAAACGCGAAAAGGGTAAATATGACCCAACCATATTATTAGTGTCGTAATTTTGCGCCGTTAAAAATTTTTTTTTGTTGTTTTATATTGTTAATTTTGTTATTTTTGGCATGCTAAAAATGTTTGGAATAAATGCGTACATATTACATAACAAGAATAACAACACTACGTAAAAGCGACACCAATTTCTAAAGAAACTTAAGCCTTCCACTGGTTCGTGAGTATTTGCGCAATCGTAAAGATGTCATTCAGTTGCAAAGACTTATGCGCAAAAGAATCAGAGAGTTCTTAGTAGAACCTGATGAGGAGCCACCTGCAAGACTGTTCTACCAAAAAATATAGAAAAACTAATAATACTTTTCGGAGCTGTAGCAAAAACATCTGCAGTGAGCATGCAATGTTGTACTGCCGATATTGCGCAGATGATAAGGATACTATGACTGATGTATGAGACTGATACATATAGTATAATATTATTAGTCTACTAAAGATTTGATTAACATGTAACAAATTAGTTTATGTTATAGAAAAAACTTTGTTTTATTAAAATTTTATTACTTTAAGACAGAGGTTGTCCATTTTGTTAATATTTTGTGACACTTTTATGAAAATGACATCAAAAAGTTAATAGTTTCGTATCATGTTGTGTTTTTTTCTACTCAAAACCTATAACGATAATCGTATTATACAGATAGTACAACCACAAACCAAATTTATTTTAACTTTTGTAATTATGGCGTTTTCTTATACGGGTCCTCTCGACCCAACCCTACTGTCGTTGTTGCATATTTTGACTGTGCTGACGCCGGGTTAAAGAAAAAACACTTGTTAATTTTCTGTCACTGAGTTGGTACGATTGCACGCATCACACGAAAACATTACTTTTGAGAGTGCTCGATTGTGCGAAGCGTTGCTGTAGTTGAAACATTCAACGTTAAGCATTATGCGGCATAATGCGCTCTAGTGCTGTAATTGGAAAACTATCAATATCTGACGCGCTCGAGTATTTCCATGTGACTATTTTTTTTTACATTTTTGAAAGCTTCTAGACGTTGTTCCACCGGTGAAAGGGCATGCATCATTTAACCTTTTTTTCTTTCTAACATCTGATCTCCAAAATTCAATGGGTCTCCAGGACGCTCGAGTAAATCCTCATTTAACATCGTGGGCTCCCCTACTATAATGTAAATATGATTTGTATTTATATGTATACGACTGAAAGACTTGTATCCATGGTCATAAATTATTAAAAAAAAAAAGAAAAAAAATGGTTGCCTGTAAAGTCGGTTTTACGGGCGAAGATTTTACGTGACAACGTCTTTTTCTCGGTAGAATATTTATTGATATGAATATAATTAAATTGCACAATAGGAACAAGGAATTGAATGAAAATAAGAATTGCACAAATTTTAACTATAGAAATATATTTTGTTTACTAAAACATAATGTACATGTAAACTTAAACTTAACACGAGAGACTCATCGTAACGTTACCGAGCGTTACACTTTTTCATAAGTGACTCCCAGCCGCAACCTAATTTAAGACGTTGTCACGTCAAAAAAGAGATTGATTTGATTGACATAAAAATAAACTTGTAATTTCCAAGGGTTTTTGGCGGGATTTCATCGAGTGCGGTTGGCGTCTTATTTTAATTATTCTTAAATTCGTTCATAGTGGATACTGTGAAATAAAATTGGTGTGGTTTTGTGTAACAACTGTCTGCGTAACTGTAGAATTAGTGGAATCATTAAAATATACGCTATTCCGGTCAAGTGGACGTGAGAATTTTATTGTAGTGTTGACTACCTCACAGAAGCTTATCGAAAAAGCCAACTCGATACATTTCGTGCCAAACACTCCAAGAAACATTAGAATGCGTCACACCGACATTCTAATGTAAAAACAAAAAGAAGATAAATTTAATTAAAGACCAGGCTGTATGGGCATTGTTCACTTTGCCTTCCCTAAAACGGGAGAACTTCAACAAAAAAAAAAAAGTAATTTTCAATAATTCTTGGGCAAGTGATTTTAGTTTATTGTCCAACAATATTAAAATAAAGAAAAAGCTTGTCTCATTAGGTTGTTGCTCTATAAAGGAAGGAATAATTTAGTTTTCACACAACAAATAATTTATCATTGTAGGGTTTGAAATTTACTGCAAATATATTTTGCATATTGAAGTGAAAATAATGTTTAACATCAGGCATGTTTGAAATCACTGCGGTTTTTATTATATAAATAAAACTATGGCTGATAGTTATAACGACTCCGTAGTTGTGACTTCTGCAGACAGAAAGGTGTTTGAAGCGCCACAAAAACATGGTGTGGATATGGATGAAGAAATATCAGCACAAATGACAGCATCTTATAGTGAAATATCATTTAATTCTGACCAAGGCCTTAGCAGTGTTGTTGGAAATGAGGAACAGACAAAAGCAGGACCATCTCGTCCATATGATTTACCCTCAGAGCACCGTAAGCAAGAGAAGTTTCCTTTAGATATGGATGGCCATGTTCGTTATGAAGGTGATATGACACACTATGTTGCTGATGATTTAGAATTTAAAATAAAAATTTCAAGCCCTATTACTAAAAGAGGTGACACTCCAGTTTTTGGTAGTTCAAGTGCTTCTAGATCTAGCACTCCATCTGGAAAACTTTATAGACAAATTTTGGCTCCTCAAATAGGACAAATTGATATCACAGTTTTAAATGATCTTGAGTATGAAGCCCAGAAGATTGCACAGTCTGTAGATAATTTAATAGAAAATTTATCTAGTATTTTGCATTCCAATTCATCATTGACAGCAGAAAATATGGAAGTTTATAAAGATGCTGTTGGTAAAACTTGTGATGCAATGGATAACAATATCAAAAGCATGTACACTATTCTTGCTAAAGGTGAAGAAGTATCACAAGCTATGGTTCCAGTTCAAGCACAAGCTGCTAGGATTTCAGAAATCAAGAGATTATTACAAATTTTTGAAAATAACTTTTAAATTAAATTTTAAGTATGATATTATGTTTATGATATAATAAGATGAATGTAATTTATTGGTGTATAGTAAAATTATTTATCTTATTTATAAAATTCTTGTGTCACAATGTTAGGTACCATACTCCTCTGAAAAGGCTTGACTGATTTTAATGAAATTTTATATGCATATTGAGTAGGTCTGAGAATTGGCTACTATCTATTTTTCATATATCCTAAGTGGTTGTCCACCCCTATAATTTCTTTTTATTTTTTTGATTTTTTTTTGTAATGTGGCCTTAAAAATACATACAACCCTAAATTTTCACACTTCTACCACCAGCCCCTATTTTATAGCGGCATGAAGTTCACTGGGTCTGCTAGTACAGCATATGAAAATAAACATACTTGTAGTTCAATATAAATTAGGTACACCAGTATTGTTATATATTAATTTACTCTGAGTAAAATAAAACATAGTTTATGTAACTATAATAAATAAATATATATTATAGGTGCTAACTTTCTGATGATCCAAAGAGAAAAAGTCTTATAAATAAGGAAGGGGCAGGGAATATTATTATTATGTAATAGTTAAATTTGCCTGTCGGCCAACTAACTCCCCTAGCCCTAGCAAGAGCACAACGTTGTGTGGTGACAAGACATGACATGTCGGAGAGGTATTGGTTTCATACATTTAGTACAGTGCGATTCAACTGAGAATAGGTCCGACTGGGCGCCATATTGTGACGTCATAGCTGTCAATTCAACCCAATTAGAGTGAGCAAAAAAGGTTTTCTTTAATATTATACTTCTGTAGAAAAATATATCAGATATTTAAATAACATTTTATAATAATATTGAGAGATATAAAAACGTAATCCTTAATAATATTTATTTATTAAGACTGAGTGAGAAAAAATATTTATCAGAATCTAGCTCGTTAAATCCGCTAATCTCTGCACTACCATCGGAGTAGTCATAATCATCACTGCTGCTTTCAGCTATAAAATAAAATAACTATCATTGTAGGGTTTCAAACCACAAATTTATTTAAAATAATAACGGTCTTTTTATTATCTGTATTTATTAAAAAACTAAAGTTCTTATATATCTCTTTTCCTATACCCATTTTTTATATGTTCACATGATTTATTTCCATATTTTGTTTACAAATGTTTAGTTTTTATCGTAAGATTAGCTCAGTGCTAAAAAAGCATTCCAAGTTTTTTTTGCAAGCCGTCCTTTTCAAGCGACATTTGACAGATGGAGGTCATTGGCTCTCCATTCTGTATAAAGAATGACAAGGATACATTCTGTTGTTAAATTTAAGTTTAGATTTAGAGAATCGACACATAGTAGTGTTAAAGAGAAGCGAGAGAGGAAAAGGACATGACACATCTTTTTTTATGGCTTTAGAATACTATTCCTAACACTGAGCGAGAAAATAATAGGTAAATATCATTATTTAATCAAATGTTAAATCCCGATTAGCTGAAAATAATAATTAATGCGTGCGTAAAGAAGATTCACTTCAATAAGTTTTTGAAGGGAAACTTCTTTACGCACGCTTGACTTTGGGGGTAAGCTGGCGAATGCGTTACGCGTTTCGAAAAGTGTGTTCGGGCGAGGCGAACGGGAGTTGAGTGGAGAATATAACCAAGAGAAAGCAGTGCGCGCAATTTATTATAGCCAAATGAAGCCTCTCCCTCATACCCATTATCATTATTGTTCGATACTGGTACTGGTGTCGATTCGGCCATGAATCATGATTCTCTAAACCTAAACTTAAATTGGACAACAGTGCATTCTTGTCTTGTCTTGTCTAACAGAATAAAAAGGAGAGACTTATGTTCAATTCAGTTTAAAGTTAAGAGAACCAACACCAGTGGCATGCAAATTTTGCACTCTACACAAAAACATGTTGAAATCTTTCACGTCTGTTTGAAGTTTCGATAGAGCGCGGACTGGTGTTGGTTCGTCAAGCAAGACCATCTAAGGGAGCATCAAAGGCACCATCATGCAACGCACGGCGCAGACGAGCTAAGCTATCTATGAAAAAATACTTCTAATGGTAGCTATCCAAAAAGCTGGCTTGCCATCGAAAACCATAAGCTCGATGTGACTGAGATGTAGACCTGTTGTTGGATACAGATATTAACACTAGGAAGTTTGTTGATGTCTGAGTTTTCAACTACAGTTGTCGTTTGTTGCGGTGGTAAGGTAGCAGTGGATCCGGCGGGGAGGTCGAACACCGTTAGTTTATTTGCCACCGGTGGGGCAAGGGGTGCAGCTACAGTACTAGTCTCGGTTGGTGTTTGAGTTCCCAAGAATTTCTTTGGTCCTCTGTGGCGCTGCGTAAGCTACTTCTCCAACGTCCGACTAGACTATATGGCGACGATCTCCGCTCGCAACGAGAGCAAGGTATGCGGTAACGCATGCGTACCTAAAATTTTTTCGTCACGATCTCGTCTTTGAAGCTCCAGGGTGAGCACTGACTCAGTGTGCTTTGCTTCTGCCGCGAAAAGTTCAGCGCGTAAGATGTGCTTTATTTATAATAGGACTACTTACCTTGGTTGATAAGGTGGACGCCGGTGACGGACGCACCGGGTCTACTGTCAAAGCAGGATCGTTGTTACCGCTGGGGCGGCGCTGCGGACGGGATAAGTAATATAATCGATATGTGTATTGATATTTATTTCACATCTCTAGCCCTAGTTCTAATGTCACGCCCGAAATTGGGTAATTCGCGGTCGTAAAATATACGAAAAATCTAATCGGGGTATTGGCGGGATTTTATCGTCTGCGGGGAGTCTTATTTTAATTACTCTTAAATTCGTTCATAGTGGATATTGTGAAATAAAATTGGTGTGATTTTGTGTTACAACCATCTGTGCAACTAAAGAATTGGTAGAATCTTTAAAATATACGCTATTCAAATGAAGTGGACGTGAGAACTTTATTGTAGTGTTGAATACTTACAGAAGCTTATCGAAAAAGACAAATCCATAAATTCATTTTGTGCTAAACACTCCAATAATGTCGGTGTGGCGTATTCTAATGTTAAAAAAATAAGATTAATAAAACCAAAGATTAAGCTGTACGGGCATTGTTCCCTTTGCATTCCTTGAATTGGGAGAATCTTATAAAAACAGTCTAATGTCATCCTCATTCTGTCAAGTGGCATCGACCGAGGTGGTTGTGCCGTGGGAAGTCAGCTAAAAATGGGTTCTTCGACTGAGAGGCGAAGATTTTAAATTGATAACATGATTTTTGAGAATACTTTTTGTGAATTATATTTGGTCTCATGACCATTTGATATTTAGCTGCCATCATTGTAGAATATAAGCCAAATGGGTGACGTTGTAAGCTTATTTTCTGTGATAATTATGAAATTCAAATCGAAGTTCAATGAGAGTAAAATTTATTTTCACTATGACATTCCGTGGGAAAAGCTAAAGAACGTGAAATGGATGAATCAGAGAGCCACATCCAACAAGGCGTACGTTCCAACTACGGTAAGTGAACTTAAATGCTAAACATATTAACTAACAACTTAATATATGTTTCTGTAATATTAGAATGCATTTAAATAAATTATACTTAGAAAATATTACAAAAAAAAAATATGTATTTGTAAGTAGCCACTTCTTAAATTACTTGTGGTTTACTCAGAACTTCATCTGCAAAATGCTTCTAGTCAAACAAACAAATGCACAAACCTGTATGTAAACCAAGGACCTTGATGAAGGAGGCATAATTACAGTATGGTTGCACAAACCAGTGATAATGTTAATATCATAATTGTATTATTTTTGATAAATCCTAATAAATAAATCTAATTGATTTTACTATGATTGATTGTTAAATTATAGTTTTCAAAGAGTATTGAAGCATTTTCATTTATTACTGGAAAAGTTATTTGAATTCTTAAGGGTACTTTTTTCAAACACCTATCTAAATATCTTTATAGTGCTGTGAAGTACTTTGTCTGCATTATTGGAATTATTTTTAGATTGAAATTACACATTTTGAATATATTGTTTTACAAATTTAAATAGTTGTTGTAATCATCAAATACCTATGTAAATATACCCTTTCTCTCCTATTTTAAACTGCCAAATTATAAGGAAAATAATTGTGTATTTATTTTGTGTCTGATATATTTTTAAAAGAACAACATGAATAATGTTCGGTTGTCATTCATTCATGTCAATTGCTTTGTTGACAATCAAAAAAGAAAACTTTTCTTTTTTGATTGTCAACAGATATGTTTTATCAGTTTTATCCAAATTTTATGTTAACAGCAAAGTTCCGACACTTTCTTTCTAACATAGGCAAACATTTACAAGAATAAAAATAAATTTTAATTAAATTAAAGAGAAAAATAATGGATATGATATTCATGATATAATACCAACCTAATTTTATTGTTAGTGGTTTTAATACAATGCAATTGCATGTCACATAATTACAAGATACAGTTGGTAAGATTAATAGTCTATTAATTAGATGCAGTATATTAATATTGTATGTTGTACTATGATATTCACTATGTTTATGATCATTTGCTTCTATAATAATTATAATTTTTATTTTTTAAGCATGTTAATGCTTGATGTTTAGTGCATTCGCCCTGATAGTGAAGGGTGCTGGTTCGAGTCCCATCTTCTGCCTGGACCGCGTGGATTTTTTTCTAGTTATATTTTCTACAATAATTGTCAAAATTATTCTGATTTCTTTGTTGGTAATTTGTATAATATTTCAATATATATACTACTTGTTCGGACCAATATTTCTAATTGCATTAAGCTAAAATTTGAAATATTTTAAGAATAAAACTAGTTTTTACGGGTTAATGCACGAAACTTTATTTATTTATTGACGTTTCGCAGCCTTTTCAGGTCTGCATCGTCAGAATAATGATTTTATTTTATAAACAAAAATAAAATAAATAAAATCATTATTCTGACGATGCAGACCTGAAAAGGCTGCGAAACGTCAATAAATAAATAAAGTTTCGTGCATTAACCCGTAAAAACTAGTTTTATTTAATGAGTGATGTGCGTGAAAACCTAAGAAACAAATATATTTTAAGAATTTATTATGTCGAAATAAAATTTGTATTGACATTCTTTGCACATTGGAATTGATAAAATGTGAACACCATCATTACCTCATTGTGGCATAACGATTCCTAATATTAAAATCAGGCAGTGTGAGGTTTGTGCCAAATTGCAATCACTTGATGTCCGGAGAAGCTAGTGGACCTGATGGCATCCTAGCAGTAAGTAGTACTGAAAAAAGTGCGGCGGAGTTGTCTCCCGTGCTCACGCGTTTGTACCAATGCTCGTATTCTTTGGGGCGTGTGCCGGAGACTTGGAGAGATGCTAACGTGCAACCAGTGCCCAAAAAAGGGGATCGCTCAGACCCGGCAAACTACCGGCCAATAGCAGTCACCTCAGTATTATGTTAAGTTCTAGAAAAGGTCCTTTACAACTATCTGACCAGCTAGCTAGAGGATCACTCCCTGATTAATGATCGTCAATATGGTTTTAGACCGAAATGATCGACGGGTGATCTTCTAGCGTACTTGACTCATATCTAGGGTGAGGCTATCGACAAGTGGCGAGTCGTTGGCTATCAGCCTTAACATTGCCAAGGCGTTCAACAGGGTCTGGCGCAAAAGCCTTCTCTCCAATCTTTCGGCATACGGTCTGCCGGCCCAGTTCTGTTCTTATTTAGCTGACTTCCTGCATGAGCGTAGAATTCGTATCCTTACGGATGGTAGCACTTCGCGGTTCATGTCAGTGAATGCCGTGCCGGCGTTCCCCAGGGCTCCGTCCTATCCCCCACTTTCTTTCTACTGCATATCAATGACTTAATTCCTCTTGGGAATATTCATTGTTATGCAGACGATATTCCCAAGAGGAACATCATTGAACTCAATCAGGCTTTGGACCACATTTCCGAATGGGATACAGGAACTTGGTTGAGTTCAATGCCAAGAAAACTCAGGCTTGCGCTTTCACGGCAAAAACATCGCCATTCGTTCCCCTTGCCTCCCTTTAGGGCACAACACTGGCGGTACAGAGCAACATTACCATGGAAGTTCGCTCAGACCTGAATCCAAAGGACTACAACGAAACCGTGATCAAAACAGCTGCCCGCAAACTCGGAGTCCTAAAAAGGGGTTTTTTCACGCCCGATCAACTGTGCTTGTTGTACAAAACGCAAGTGCGGTCCTGCGTGGAATATTGCTCGCACCTCTGGGATGGCTCCGCCAAGTACTTGATCCGCATCAAAGGCGATGAGGAGGTGACTAAACACCTCGAGCCTCTTCAATAACGCCGTAACGTGGTTTCACTAAGCGCGTTCTATCGTCTGTACCACGGCGAATGTTCTGAGGAGCTATTCTCTCTTATTGCACCTTCCCCTTTCCTTCAGAGTAGAAGTAGAGCTGCTGTATCAGCTATCTTCGCGTCTAGACTTCACCTTCACTTAAATTCAGGTGGGGTGGAGTCATATGTCGAACCTATCTATAATAAAAAAGTCAAGCATATAACTATTGTATTACTACATTTACAGCAAATGAGAAGTTATTATGTTTTTGAAAGCACTCGTCATTACAAGATGTTATAGATCTATAGTATTTGTTATTGTAAGCATCGGATTTTACTCCACTTATGTATTTATGTTTCGCTATAATTTACCTATCTAATCTGGGTTTGTAATGTAAAGGGCCTCATTCAGCACACCCCTATAAACCTGAAACTCTCTCATCATGGAATGGAGAGACCGCTGAGCAAATTCAGCTCTCAGATTGGAAAATCATGCATGAATCAAGCACTATGATATTCTTCTTTTTTTTTTGGGTATTGGCAGTGCCCTTGTGGAGTTCGCTAGGAATAGATTCGACCTCTTGGCATTTCAAATCATCTTCTCCAAACTCGATAGGGTAGCATTTCATTTCTGGGGCATCTCTGGTACCAGGTTCTATCTTCATTAGTTTTCTGCTGTCTTTGACCCTCTCGACACTAAACCAGACTTGCTTTAGCATCACTATATGGCAATTATAAATGATCAGATAATATAATATTGCCATTAAAAATAACTTAAATACCTTTTGTGTTATAATTTTAAATGATTGAAAATTTTTAAAGGCGAAATATTGAGTTTATTCAGTAGAAAATCATAACTTAGGTAGTTATAACTGTAACAATATATTAAGGGCCGTTTTAATAGTATAATATTGCCATTAAAAATAACTTAAATACCTTTTGTGTTATAATATAAAATGATTGAAAATTTTTAAAGGCGAAATATTGAGTTGATTCAGTAAAAATTATAACTTAGGTAGTTATAACTGTAACAATATATTAAGGGTCGTTTTAATAGTATAATATTGCTATTAAAAATAATTTAAATACCTTTTGTGTTATAATATAAAATGATTGAAAATTTTTAAAGGTGAAATATTGAGTTGATTCAGTAAAAAATCATAACTTAGGTAGTTATAACTGTAACAATATATTAAGGGCCGTTTTAATAGATCGCTTTCTAAACAATGAGAGCGATCTTGAGATGCTGCTATGTATGGAAACAGTATCTCAAGATCTTAGTCTCAGAGTTGGGAGTGATCTATTAATACGGGTCTAGGTGCTTGGGTTTATATTGATATTTCGGATGCGTTTATAGAAATAATACATAATGATAAGTTAGTACGTATCATAAATCTAATGTCCACATTAGTCTCGAGCCATCCCCTCCCCCTTACGAGCGCAGGAGTCGCACGGGGCATTCGGTCACGCTAGAGTCAGGATGTTGCCACACAAAGTAATAATTATATTGCAGTGAACATGCCAATGTGTAATCACGTCCACGCGTCCATGTAATCGTAAACAATATTAAACTATAATTCTAGTATGACAAGGTTCTCGTTTGTTCTCATTCGTTTCATTATTGAGGACAGGCACACAGGCACTGATTGAGTTCTACGTAATTACTAACAACTTTTCTATTATATTATTATTTTTTTAAGCATTTAACTGCTGGTTGTTTAAATCTAAATAAAAATTAACTAGGAAAATTTCCACGCGAACCCAGCAGCAGACGGGACTCGAAGCCGCACCCTTCGCTATCCGAGCGAATGCACTGTCCACTGGCTACCACGTATTATATTTTTTAGGCATATAACTTATAGTTATATTTTTTTGGCATTTAACTGCTATATGTTTTAAAGTGCATGTTCGAGTACCGTCTGCTGCCTGGTCCGCGTGGAATTTTTTCTAGTAAAAGTTTCTTTCTAATGGTTTTAGTGGGGGTAATTGATCGTGAGATACCATTCATACTGTTTTGACTCTCACTCTATATGAGAGTGGGTAGCTGCCAACACATCAATGCTTTTTTTTTTAAATGAGATAATCAATAGATTTCACATTTTATGATCGATATCATTTAGAAATTCGAAATATTTATATTTAAAACAAAATGAATTTCATTTACAGCATGTTATCCCAGTTCTTTGTATTTTATCAATGGAAATTATAACCACTTACAAACTCGAGTCGTGGACACTGAGCATGTAATTTACATAAAGATTTGGCACTTCCATACTAGGCCTTGTTCCGCATTTGGTATGCCTTTTGTACAATCGTAATAAAAACAAAACATGCTAACAACATACGTAGGAAATGTCAAAATAGTACCTGCTGGTCGCGGACGGACGTCAAGGCAGACGTATCGGCTGTCGCTTCTAATACTCTGCATAATACTTTTTTTTTCATTTATTGAGGTCATACAAACAGTTTCACAATATAAATTAGTTCTAAGTTAATGTAATTATTTTCTTATCAATTGTGAAGCCAACACCGTTTACCACCATTTAATATCTAAATTAAGAGTTTTCAAGAAAAGAGAAAAATAATAATAATTTTATGCTAACTAATCAAGATCTAAGAAAATTATGTACTTATTTATTTTAGTGTTTATATCATCTAACTTCTTTTTAATGGATTCCTTAAAACAGTTAATCGCATTAACAAATATATCAATATCATTAAAATAAATATTATAAATGTCAGTCAGGCGAGATATTGGAGAAGGTTTACCTGAATTAGTACGAGATATTGATTTATTAAATAAATTTACTAGTACAGCAGGCTCGCATTCGTGGCCTGACTGGCACATGGTAACTAATACTATTGATAATATGACTACAATCGTTTACCTGTAGTTTCAATCTCTTGGGTTTATGGTGAATCAAAACATATTTTTCCAATCGTGTCAGGTAGGGTAACCAACTGCGATAACATTTATAGTTTACATACTTCAAGAATTTATTTTGCACTCTTTCGATACAATCGGCATATTTATTATTGAATGGATTCCAGAAGGAAGTGGCATACTCCAGTTGTGAACGTATCAGTGCTTTATATAAATGAATATATGTTGCTAAATTCATCACTAGCCCTGATAACAAAGCGATACATTTTATAAGCTTTGTTGCAGATATTGTCTATGTGTATATCCAGAGTGAGTTTTGCATCTAATATAATGCCTAAATCTCTAGAAGTTTGCACTCTATCAAGGTTTGCAGCACATAGTCAATAATAATTCATTTATAGAAAAAAGCCTATTATATTCAATAAAATATAATAGGTTTTTTCTATTAAAAGTTATAATTTTGCTTTTGTTTAGGTTTAGATTAAGTTCGTTACATGTGTAATAAGTCGTTCATCGGTCTAAATCATCTTGAAAATAATTACAGTCATGGAAATATTTTATAGTGCTGTAGATTTTAGGTCATCTGCATTTAATAAAAAAATGGGAATGTTTAAAACATTCATCTATATCATTTATAAAAATGATGAATAATAGTGGGCCCAAAATTGAGCCTTGAGGAACGCCTGATGTTATCATCACGGAGTCAGATTCGTGATCATTTATAACTACTTTTTGCGTTCTATGCTTATATAAGATTTAAGCCACTTCCATTGATCAGCCCGTATAATATATAATTTTTTGTAACAAAATTTTATGGTCAACTCGATCAAATGCTTTCTTGAAATCAGTATACACCGCATCTGTCTGTTTATTGGCATCTGTGTTGCAAAATAACTCATTTGTATATATTATGAGATTTGTGATTGTCAAGCGCCGAGACCCAAAACCATGTTGTTGTGGAAGTGCATTATTAAGGATGCGTGATTACAGGATGCCGTGTAACCTTTCAAGAAGTTTTGCTAAGGTGGGTAATATAGATATAGGCCTGTATATACTTTATTACAAGGTCTTCTACTGACCGTCAATCAATCTTAACGTATCAAATTACCTTTCCAAGACCTTGAACCTTCTAATTTTCGTGGCCTTATTACATGACGCCATAATAAATCCACACAAGAGATAAGCTAGGTGCGATATAAAGAGGTTTCCCACATGGCCTATTTCCGATAGTTTATAGATTATTTCGTACTTCAGCTAAAAGCTACCCCAAACACGCTTCGTTTTTGCTGATATTACATAAGGTTATTATTTATTATATTCTTGACAACAAACAGTCATGTACATCGATATTATTTTTTCATTACATTAGTTAAAGTTATATTATAGACCTTGAGTGCCAAAACATAAGTCTAAAATACTTAACAGGAAGAAATGGGCCGCGCCGCACGCTTTTTCAGTTATTTAAGTATATATGTTAAAAAAAACTATAAACATGGCTCACTCTAAGGCCCTAATGAAGTAAACAGAGAGTATATTCTGTTTATTTTTGGCTTTTAGTGCTAAATAAAAACTTTTTTATTTTTTTTTCATTATGCTTCTTACTAAATAAGAATATGTTTTATCACATCTATTCGAAAAGAGCTAGTTTGTTTTCTGTTTACTAGGACCAAAATATTGTTTTAATCCCTAGGGACCAAAAGTGATGTGAATTAGGAATTTGGATATTGTATCAGACTTTAAAAATGTTAGTTGCATTTACATATTATACATATTTTCTCATAGCTGGTGATAATAAGTAGTGTCCACCTCTGGAGCAACACTATTTTAAAGCTCGAGCGACGTACTTCAAATTCCTCGATACGCTCAGGATAAAAAAACGCTCTCGCTTTTAAAATAATACTTTGCTCCCTTAGTAAACAATCTAATATCAATTTCCTGTTCATTGTTCACGCAGGTTGAAAATGTAGCAAATGTGTGCACACACGCACTGTGCGTTGCGCCCGCATCGTACGGCGCGCGCGAGCTGCTGACGCGGTCTGTGAACGCGCCGCAAGCGATCGCGGCCGTGGTGTACGGCTTGGCTCTCTGCCTCCTCTTCGCTGTCTCAACCACCTTCCACTCCGTCTGCTGCTGTCAATCTAACACGTGAGTAATGAATATTGGTGCAAGTGGATTGTTTAGCGAATGTGTGCTAACGACCTGCTGACGCGGTCTATGAACACGCCGCAAGCCATTGAAGCCGTGGTGTACGGGCTGCCTCTCTGCCTCCTCTTCGCTGTCTCAACCACCTTCCGCTCCGTCTGTTGCTGTCAGTCTTAAACGTGAGTATCTATGAATGTACCGCTCGCGAGTTACTGACGCGGCCTGTGATGATCGCGGGCGTGGTGTGCGGCCTGGCTCCCTGCCTCCTTTTCGCTGTCCAACCACCTTCCGCTCCGTCTGTTGCTGTCAAGTCTTACACGTGAGTATTTATGAATGTACCGCTCGCGAGTTGCTGACGCTGTGTACGGACTGGCTCTCTGCCTCCTCAGCGTTTTGTGGTGTACCTGTTTATCAGAAGTTCTCTATAAAAGGTTTAATAAACGGACGTAACCGATTAAATAACAATGAGCAATAGAAACATAGGTCAAAATATTAACTAATAAAAAAAACGGACATGTGGTACGTCTTAAAGACAACACCTGTGTTAAAATTCAACTCTCTAGGTCAGAATTAAATATTTTATACTTAAATTGGTTCGAACAATAAATAGGTTATCTATATATATAAAAATGAAACCCGTTTTCCGTTGTCACGACATAATATGAAAACGGCTTGACCGATTTGGCTGTTTTTTTTTTGTAGTTTTCTAATACTCTGTACAAGGTTCTTACGGATTTTTTTTTTTTTTAATTTTTTTTTTTTTTTATAATTTTTTTATTTAATAAAAATTAGTAAAGTCCTCAGGTATGGCGAGACCAGGGAAATAGGATTCATTTTTATATGGAGGATATTATAGATTCCAGTTCAAATTGAATAGGTACTCATACATAAGATAGGTCAGCTATACAAAATAAAGTAGTGCATCAAAGCTACGCTAAGGCGGTACGAAGTTGGCCGGGTCAGCTAGTATCTTAATAAAAGAAAAACAATTAACACAAGAAACAGAGCTTAGGATCGAACCACCGATCATTTGATGTCTAATCCAAGACCGTTACCAATCGGCTATCTGTCTCTTAAATTACGGATACCTATCTTGTGTCAAATACTCTACTTTCGTTTCATCGAATCTCAAATCACAACGACATTAAAGAAGTTTTCACTTAAAAAAAATTACGATTGACGATTTGCTGATTGTTATCGTAGTAAAAGTTAACATTCGATCACTTCATAACTCACATGGCCGTTATATTTAAAAGGTATTTTTTTTATCCAATGATCAAATTTCAGATCTCCGAAAAACTCAGAGGTTGCAATTTTCTACCGATTCGATCAATGAACGCCATAGGTCGTTTAATATGAATATCCTCAACAACATTCAGATAAGAGGCAAACAATTTAAAACATCTTCCACAGTTCACCGTTTGAACCTATTATTACGTCGGGATGTTGACGTGAAACGCGGGAACAATAGGCACGTGGAGTGAATGACAGTGTGAAAACAGCCTCCTACACGAACGAGACATGGCACCTACATTACATCCTCGATAAGTCTATTTATAAAAGTGGTCACAATAGACCGACCCGCGTCACAGTATTGCAAAATAATTTAATATGAACGTTAATGTTTGATTATTTCTTTTGTTGGTATTATAAGAGATGTTGATGATAAGTAAGGTCTGTCGTCGGCGTCGTGGAAGTTAAGAATGCAAGAAGGATGGTCACTGTGCTAGTAGCTTTACGGCACTTTTTTCACGAGATTTGACGGCTCGACTAGTAGTTAGTGATCCTGACTGCTAGCTAACCCGGTGGCACCGAGATCGAATTCCGAAGAAAGAAAATGTTTTTGTAATGATTTAAGTACTACTTTATTGTACGCTGTCTAGCACCCATATTATAAGCTATGCCTATTTTGGGGTGATTGTTATTGTGAAAGAGTCCAACAATTATTCATTTATTCACGGCATCTGCATAGGCATCAAATTTCAGGCGCCATATCGTGTTTTTCCATTTTCGCTTCCATCCATATTTAATAGCTTGGACTAACAAAGGCCTAATATTGAAACAGTATAACGGTTTGTTTGAACGTTTCTACCCCGTCTTGTAGTGTAATTACCTATAGCCGTTCTGTCTAGCAGCCACTGCTACGCCCGTATCGCTTTAGATTTCTTTAAATTCTTTAATAGTTCGAAACATACCTACCTGTCATGGCCATGGTGCCGTGTGATTAGTAAAATATTAAAATGGGCTTATAGGGAACAAGTGATCAACAAGGTTAATATATCTATGTTTAACCTCCCTGTTGGCGACTGGCTGGTTAATCATAGTCATTTTAATTATATTCTTTTTGTCATCCTTTTTTTACTAGTCGCTTTCAATTTTGCTTTTGCTTGTCATTCTTGTTGTTCTTGTTCGTATTATATTTTATTTCTACTTGCAAGGCTCTCTTTTATTTGTCCGTCCACTTATTCGTTAATATTTTTGGTCCTTCGAGCCGCATCTGAACCAGCGACCTATGGATCTACAGTCCACTTAAATAAACCCTTTTGTGCCGACTGATGCAACTATGCTAATACCATGAAAGGCTTAAGTAAAAATAGCTATAATGTTTATGCAAAGTCTTAAGGCTTCCTCGTAGAAGGTGGTTCAAGGTCGTACTAAGAAAATAATTCTCTGCGGTCGAGGTGACCACATAACTTCTGCTGGGAAATGCGACCTTCATAAGCGGGACATAAATGCTTTAATATGCAAAACATGGACTGACTGGTGAGTTACCGGGTCAGATGTCTCAGATTGCGTTTTTGCAGACATTTACCTTTTGCTTCCCTTCGTGACATAAATCTCCTTATACCAAAACGTGGGCTAAAGTTATGTTTTTTAGCGAACAGAAGTGACATCATCAGTTTGAGTCCAGGTGTGTTTTGTAATAAGGCGGTGTTTCGTAAAACATTAATGCGATAAATACGCGCTCTGATAGCTGACCTGTCAGCCTGAGAGTTATTCCCTCATACTTAGATTTAAGTAGACACTGCCCTGGCGTCAAATTATAAAAAAAATCAAGCGTGTCATAATTTAATACTTTCTCCTTTCTCACGAGAACATAGATATTAAGTGGAGGAACAGCATTGGTTCTGGACACACAGGTGTCCAGAACCAATGCTGTTATACAATAAACTGTAAAAACGATAGAATTGAAACAGTTCAATATCGTTTTTACAGCTTATTATGGTATAGTTAGACTTTACTTAATTGCGATTAATTTCCGGTGTCGGAGAACGATGACGTGAATAAATAAAAAAACGCCAAAGGAAAAGCTTTGTGGCTTTGGTCACCTTTTTGTCACGTGTTTGCTCGCAAAATACATATACTCACGATATCTTTTTCGATGTATGTCTGTAGTTATTATTACTAGTCTAAAATGTAGAAGACATTAATAGGCTGATGATGATAATAATGAAAATGGTTATACTAGCCTAAGAGCTCCCTGTTTCCACAGCAAAATGAAACATTTCCTCCACCGATGCGACCGTGCGATGATCTACATCTTCATCGCCAGCTCCTACTTCCCCTGGCTGACGGTGGGCACGCTCTCCTGCTGGATGCTACGGGAGCTGCGCTGGGCCATATGGCTGCTAGCAGTACTGGGCATCACGTACCAGCAGATATTCCACGAGCGGTACAAAATGCTGGAGCTGCTGCTGTATTTGGTCATGGGACTGGGCCCCGCCGCGATTATAGTCACATCAAACGTAAGTTAATTGTTTTCTGTCTTCTTCCTCTATTTATATAAATTTTCTCTATAAATAAAATGAATTGTCCAAATATAGGTACGCGCAAAACTTTTAAAAGTCTGCACCAAATTGGATAACTTTTTGTTTTGTGTTTGTTCTTGTCAGGACAATGTTTGCAGGTTTAAAAGAAGATAAAAAGTTAGTTGGGTCAGCTAATATAGTATAAAACAAAGTCGTTCCCGCTGTCTGTGTCTGTACGCTTAGATCTTTTGAACTACGCAACGGATCTTAATGCAGTCTTCAGCAATATAATTTTTCCAAAGGCTAGTCTAAAGTGTGTACTTATAGTTTAAGTTGAGGCTATTGAATCAGTTCTTTCTAAATCTAATTTATTAATTTCTCGTTCCACAGTGTTTGTAAAAATACTCCTAATTTTGTGTGTATTATTCAGTAGGTCTGACAATAGGACGTAACTATTTTTCATACTTATCTCTAACGATTTAGGGTGGTGTACATAAAAAACAATTTTTGGATATTATTATGAGTCGGCATTATAATATAAATACAAACTTTCAATCTTCTACCACCAACCACTATTCTTAAGGCAGTAAGAAGTTCGCTGGGTCAGCTAGTAATGGTATTCTATGCGTTACCCTAGTATCCCATAACTCATACCTTACGGTGCTTTCTTTAGAGCAAGCGTAACTGGTGAGAGTGCAACATTAGAAATAAGTATTGATTTACTTATGTATATTATTCATTACTAAAAAAAATACACACAATTTTTTTCGAGCGCTCGTGACGCTCGTAACGTTTCAGCCTACGCCAAGTTACCTTCCAACTTATATAAATATATATATATATACGTAGTAACACATTTATATATATATATACACACATAATTATATATACAGTAAAAGTTCCTTATTCGCGGGGTATACGTTCCAGAAATATGCCGCGAATACAGAAACCGTGAATATGGAGTGGTAATTTATATGAAATTATAGAGGATACGTTCCAAGGCGGCAAAAAAACAACAATATTTTTAACTAATCAATGAATTGTAATTAATTTTTGTCAGGCTTAAGCAAGCGTTCAAAGAACTGTTAATGTAAACGGTAAAACTGATATTTATCACGTCGAAACTTATTTTATCTTTGTCGAAATTATAATTTAGGAGCACAATGGAAGAGACGAGTTACTCGAACACAATTTTTGGAATGAATGAAAAGAGGAGTGAGTAAGCCACGCAAAGCGGACATGGCGGAGCGTTTAACTAACATATGTGATATTATAATATGATATGATACTAATACATATAACAATATATTTTAGGCATATAATAATTAAATTGTTTTACATAAACATTATTCTGATTGTTTACTATCTCAAACAGCGTCTCATATCAAAAGAAAAGGCGAAACCATCTTATGCACCGGCGATAGCATTTGACAACATACCGTAGACTGAGTTAAAATAAGGTATATTTTATATATTTTGTAATTACTCCATCTGCCGATGCGTTAAAAAAGGTAACCAAATCCTTTATATTTTGATTAGATCCGCGAATAACGAAATTGTTTACCGCAAATATGGGAATTTGGTCGCAATTTTTTAATCCGCGAATAGTGAAAACGCGAATATAGGAAGCGTGAATAAGGAGCTTTTACTGTATATATATATATAGTCATGTGACGCTCGTGGCGCATTCCCGTTTAATCTTTTCCATAGGATTCTTCCATTTACACCTCCGAAAAGAAGTATGACTTCGACACAGGATTTGTGTTATTTGGATGCAGTGAAGTTGTAAACACTTTCCCAGGCGGGTTCTCCAAAACGAGACAATAAATCTTCAAGAGTCCTACCTCTTCATGACGGTAATGTCTTCGCTCATTCAATTTTCCATTCATCACGTATGTTATATTAGTAATTAACTATGTAAGTGTCGCTTTCAGTATTCATTACATACGCCGACCCTGATTTCTATTTTTGTTTCTCTAGAAACCGTTTATCGATTAGGTACCCATATAAAATTTTACTTAAATTTCCAACATGAAGAGGAAAGTGTTACTCAACTTTTAGTATAATTTAAACAGCTTCGTTTCGATTTCCATATAATAAACTGTACGAGTCTCGAACATTTTATTTTAATCTAAGTCCCAATGATGTATAATATTCTAAATCTATATATATAATAAAAAGGTAGGAAAATCAAAACTTTACATTGATTTTTTTTTAAAAGAATACTTTTTTTTCCTAAATGGCTTCGCACGGCTTGTACATTTAGCAAATGTCAAGTTTAGTGTTAAAATGTTTACGAATTCTATAGCACTCGTGGTCAAAGTAATAAATCGTGGGTGATCTACAATCGAAACCGAATCAAATCGATTTTTGTTTGTTGGTCTGAGCAGTGAACCTTTATTTCTTCAGCGCATTCAGTTCAGTTGGATGTTTGTATGAAAGTCCTATGTGTTGGAAGTAAGAGACTTGAAATTTAACACGTATGCTCTATAGATGGTAAAGAGGTGTTCTAATAATGTATCTTTAGAAATAAACCCCCTTTTGGGGTCAAAAAGTACGTGCAAGCGTACGAAGTCGCGGGCGGCCGCTAGCCCACAATAAGCAGAAAAGGTTACACCGAAGCGAATATAAATTGTCTCGTACCATTATTTATTAATGACTATCTGTGCCCCGCGGTGTTACCCTCGCTTAATTAGGGATATTTTCCCGCAGTAAAACATAGCCTAAGTATGTGTTAAACCAGGGTGTCAGCTGATTACATACCAAACTTTATAAAAATCGCTCCAGCCGTTCAGAGGTAAAGAAGTAACAAACATACACACTCACAAACTTTCGCCTTTATAATATTAGTGTGATGAAAGTATTCATTACACTGGCTTTGTCATGGTAGTAATTATACAGTGACGGCGAACGCGAATGAATTCATACATCTCTTGCGTTGCACAACCGTCTCTCAGTACCATGTGAACTTTGTCCTACTGATAAAGAAAAACATTCAATCGTCATTTCCGGGCACGTCGTATAAATATAAACTTAAATAAAAAAAGACAATTATTTAGTAATTTTATTTTATTATTGTCTTTCGGCGTAACTAATAAATATGTGTGTATATTATATCCATCCCAAATAACAGCCTTTAGTGTCGCCGCACACGGGCCACCGACCACAACCACAATACGCCGCCACCGGCATATTTCTTGTAGTTTTCATACATTTTATATGGACTCGCCACACACGATACGCCGCCGGTGGCCGCCACACGCTACAAATCGTCGTTGCTCGCTTCTTGTGGCCCGCACCGGCCACTTAATGCGCCAATACAAAACGCCGCCACACGTCACTCGCGCGATTCCCCACCCCTCTCTCCCTTACCTTAGGCGGCCGCTGTCGCGTGCTTCAGCCACTTTAATAGCCGCTTCTAGTTACTCGTGGCGGCTTATATAAAATGTATGAAAACTACAAGAAATATGCCGGTGGCGGCGTTTTGTGGTTGTGGTCGGTGGCCCGTGTGCGGCGACACTTAGTACTGTGAGCTGGACAAGCGGACAGATAGATATGGTAAAATTACTAGGTTTCCTTTTTGACCACAGAATACTAAATAATAAGATTCCAACTACTAAATTGCGTAAATGAACAAAATGCAATTGTGTACAATAGCCCAACTAGTTTAGTTTATTTTTAAAGTCTTTCAACAACAACCTCACTAGAGACTGACTAAAAATTAATCATACCTTATTTCAAAGTAACTATCAATCAGCGTTGCCAGATTATTTTTTGTCAAGTTGGGATACAGGAAATTTTTCAGTGAAAAAAGCGGGATTCTTTCGTCGAAAGCGAGACATAGTAAAAAAACCTATATAATCAAAAGTTATTGAATATTTATCTTCATTACGGATATGTCCAGGGCTAGGGAGCGGCATTATCTGGCAATGGTATTTTAGTGAAGGCCATTGCCCGATAATGCTCCTTTAAAGCGGGACGACAGGCAACTAAGGGCGGCACGCTCCTGGTTATAGGGATTTAAGATAGGGCAGCGGAAATTACAGGTAGGGACCTGTAATTACCGCTGCCCTATCTTAAATACAATTTCGGTTACGGCCCTGATATGACCCGTTCTCCATACCTAATGTTTCTGTTCACATTGAAGGTTTTTGCCTGAAGGTATTTGGATATAATAAGCTGGTAATGACGATAACGAGGGTAAAACCAGAATTTACTGTAAACGTGCTCTTTGCAGATAAGCGATGTCATCGTCTGATGGCCTTTGTCCTACTCCTACAGATAACAATGTCCCGTGGCGCCCTATGCTATGTCCTAGAAAGCTAAGCTTTCTAGAACGAGCCATTATTCTGACATTTATTTATATCTGGCTTTTATTCATTCTTCTGCCTGAATTTCTTTATTTTATTTTTGTGCAACTTAAGTTTTGGTCAAATTTATACAGGGAGGACTCGCTCATAAGTGGACCTTCAAAATGAGAACGCCCGCTTGTTGGAAATGGTAAAGCGAAATGACAAATTTTTAATTGATAGTAACTGCAACTCGAAACTTCGTAAGTGTGAAATGAATCTTTCACCTGGATAAATAAAAAGTAGTCTCTTGTTAAACAAGGAAGACAATAAAGGTGTTGATCCAAATCCGATAGAAAAAAATCAAAGCCTAGAACAAAAGATTTGATTATGCACTTTTAAAAAATACGTTATTAATAATAATAGTTATTATAAATAATAACCGTCTCTTTTTCCATGTGTCTTAACATGTTTTCATGGTGATATAATTATGAATATTACTTCACATTTGCCACGAATTTCATGACTTCTTGACTTTATTGAATAAAATAATCTAAAGGTGTGAAACGATATACGAAACACAAATAATTTCCCTAATTGCATTTACTAGATTATACGTACATTTTTAAATGCAAATATTTTATTTGACGCAACAAATTACCCCGCCCATGCCCCGCCCCCCAAACTGATGCTAAGTGCAAGTGGAGT